AAGGCAGGATGGCCCAGCTGCCCTGCCTCTCCCGCTGCCCTGCAGCCTTTGGAGCCATCCTGCTCTTCCCTGCATCCCTGGGAGAGCCATCTTAAAAACAGTAATGATGCACACATCACATGTAAACCTAATTAAGACCTCACTCCTTGATGCTCTCACACTGAAAGCAGATTGACCACACGGCTCCACTCCCCCCACCTCAGGCAGGTCTGGTGTAGCTGGGGAGAAGTCGGTGCTTTGCAAGGAAACACCACCTACTGAAAAGAAGAAAACAAAAGACTCCTCAAGGAGGAATCGATGGGAGCTGCTTTCCCAGTCGATAGTGTCTGAGACACAAATGGGGTCCCTTGCAAATCAAAGGCAGAGCCACACGTGCTCCCTGAAACACTGCATTTGTTCCTGCTCAGCCAGGCAAGAGTCCCTGGCCCCTCTGCACACTGTCGCTCAAGATAACGTGATCATCAAATTTCCTATGAAAAAAATATTGCAGCAGAGATAATGTGCCACGATGCACATATTTCACAAAGGACGGGCTTCTTCAGTCAGAGCAACCTCTTTAAAAAATAAAAAATATATTAAGTTCCGCTCTCAGATTACAGATCAGCTTCGTTCCTCCGTTGGCACCATTGTTTGAGTTAGTTCCGCTGAAAATGCATCAAATTTCCGATCTTGGGGACAAGGGCAGTGAGTTTCAGCTGTAATAACTGGCTTGGATAAGATTTAGAGTCTGAGCAAAAATTCTTTACAAATCATGTGTTCACTATCACGCCCTTTGTATGGTCTTTGCTGATTTTCACATCTAATGAAATACCCAAACCTCAGTATCAAGAAACACTGAGAAAAAACTTATGGCAAAAGTGGGGCAGTGCAGTGCAGCCCCTCGGGCTGTGGGGCAGCGCAGTGCAGAGCCACGTCTGCTCCCTGTGCCCCCCTCCGGGCCACATCTTTGTGCCACGCAATTTGCATCCAGAAACACAACCGTGTACATGAATGCAAATCAGCATGCAAATCATCTCTCCTTGGATTTGCATACGCTGTTAGATTCACGGGGCGGTGCTCAGTGGACCTGGCAGATAATTACAGTGCAATGCATGGGCCATAAATATATATTCTGATGTCCTTTTGGGTTAGTAGCAGGGCAGTAAACCAAGTTAAAGGCACAAATAAACGCCAAGAGGCAAGCGATACCCACGGGGTGAGTTTGCCTCCAGTTCCCTCCCCTCTCCTTTTCTGGCAGAAATCTTGGGGGAGAAATATCTCTTATAACACATTTGTAGAGATCTCAGTAACGGGAACCCCTGAATGGTTCTACAATACGGTGTGGGCAGAAATACCCATCTTCAGCTCATTTGTAAAGCACTTTGAAACCTTGACCTAAAGCCTTGCCTCCCTCAGATAAAGGCGTCACCAGCTTCAGGCAGGAGAGAGACTGAAGGGATGCACTCCCAAAAATACAGCAAATTCTTCCTTAATGGTCCCTGCTGATAAAAAATAAGGAAGACATAGATACTGTGATTGTACCTCCCCCTCCTATTTTATCGTGTGGCTTGTCTCCAAAGCCCCATGGTGTGAGGGGCACAGCAGCTCTGCCCAGTGATGGCTCCGACACGCCAGACTGGGAATACTCACACACATTTGTGTGTGTTCTTCACTTCAGAGGGAAACCCACACGTACGTCACTGAGCAGTAGGGAGGAAAGTTAATTTAAATGCAAATGCTGCATTTGCCCCATAGAAATTAAGTAATACACCCAATTTATTGTTTATACTTAAAGTTAATGATTGTTACTGCTTCAACCAGGTAACCAGCCCTGTTGGAGAGAAATGACTCAGGTCTAAGTTCTCAGGTAAGCAGAAGCAGAAGCGTGCCCAGGTGTGGGCACTCGGTGTTTCAGAGGGGCACCCAGTGCTCACACGTGGGCAGGTGTCCCAGGGACCCACACAATCACCCAATTAGCGCATCGGTACCAGCCCTGCCCCACGGAGCAGCTGGGGAGGGAGGGACCCTGCAGGCTCCTCTGACGGCCTCAGCATCATCCCTCCTCCTGCAAACCCAGCACTGGCCGGACAGAGCTCATCACACCGATATGGGCACGTGCCAGCCTGACACGAGGGCCCCACGGCGCCGCGACACACACAGCACCTGTGTGTTATCCGGGCAGGAGGAGGCTGGTGCTCCAGCTGAACACAACGTTGCCCAAGAAGCACTTAGCACCACACATGAATTATTAAAGAGACTGACCACAGGTGCATCACACCGATAAGAACACAGACCTTCACGCTCAGAAGCATCATCCAGCTACCAATTATACAGATATTTGTTTAGAGAGTTATGGACTCTTTCTGAAGGCAAGCTGCTCTGTGGCTGTCAATTAACAGCAATTGTCAATTATAATAGCTTAGAAAGCTCCACACATCCCCAGCAGCGTGGCCAGCAGGGCCAGGGGGAGGACTCTGCCTGTCTGCTCCAGCTCTGGGGCCACCAACAGCAGAAGGACACGGAGCTGTTGGAGCGGGGCCAGAGGAGGCCCCGGAGATGCTGGGAGGGCTGGAGCCCCTCTGCTGGGAGGGGGGGCTGAGAGAGTTGGGGGGTTCAGCCTGGAGAAGAGAAGGCTCCGGGGAGACCTTGGGGAGGGGGCTTGGAGCAACCTGGGCTGGTGGGAGGTGTCCCTGCCCAGGGCAGGGGGTGGGACTGGGGGGGCTCTAAGGTCCCTTCCAACCCGAACCAGCCTGTGACTCTATGAACACCCATCTCTTCCAGCACCTTCCCCCGGGACACCCGGTCCCTGGAGCGGACCGCGCAGGGCCCCGGGCACAGCCCGTTCCTGTGGCCACCGCCCCCGCCCCCGGGGCCAGCAGCGCCGCAGCCCCACGCTCGCCCGCCCGATGCCGCGCTCGCCCCCGGCCCCATGCGCGGGGCTCGGTCGCCACCTGGTGGCCGCACACGGCAGCCCGCGGGCGCGCGTGGGGCTTTGGGGGTGCCCGGGCACGCACCCACCGACAACAGCAGCACGGCGGGCTTCGGAACGGCGTGCCACGGCACAGCCCACGCTAGCACACCCACCCGTGCCGCCGAGCGTGCAAGGAGTGTGTGAGCCTCACACCTTTACACACACTCGACCTGCCCGAGAGCCCGGTCCGGGTCCCGCAGAAGCCCCCCCGGGGGGTTTCCCCAGGGAAGGTGCCCAGGAGCATCCCCCGCGGTGACACCCAGAGCGGGCACTCGGGGCTGCTGGTGCCGGGGAGAGGGTGGTCAGCAGCCACAGACCGAGGGTGGTACTGGTAGCCTGGAGCCCACTCTGCCCTCCCCTCTGCTGGGGCTGTGCCCAAAGCTGCACTAATTAACTTAATTAACTATAATAAAGGCCAGGTGGGCCGCTGCCCTCTGGAGACGCAGGTGGGGTCCCAGCTGTGGCCGAGCCAGCCCCCTCCCTGTCCCGGTTGCCAGCAAACCCCTGGTGACACGTTGCCCGCTCAGTCCCTTCAGTGGCCACGCGTCAGGGGTGGGTTGAGGTGGTCAAACCAGCAGCCCCTGCGGTTCCTGTTCTGTGCTTTGGGGTTTTTTGTTTGTTTTTTTTTTAATTCTGTGTGTTCTTGTCACTCCCTCTGTGCAACAACTGCCACCTGCAAAGGCAGATTCTTCCAGGTATTTAGTCTGGTTCCTGTAGGTTTCCAAAGAGACAAATAAAATGAGGTGTGAAGCTTCTCAAGACTCTTTCCAAGCCAAGGTTTAGCCAGAATTGGGTGATTTGCGATGGCCACCCAAGGGGTGACAAGGCAGAGCTGTGTCCTGTCAGACTGGTTCCCTCCTCAGCTCCCTTTAGGGACCTTGCCCTTTATTTTTCATTACAAATATCTCATTCCCCAGCATGAAACTCGTTGTTTGGTGCCAAGGTGCCCCGTGGATGGCGGCACACACTCACCTGGGAGGGCAGCTCCTGCTGGGACCATGAAGGACACGGCTCCCAGTGCTCATTTAATATCCCAGTTACGGCACTAAAAGCCTTGGTGTCAGGAGAAGACAGGATAATGAGCTGAACACCAGGTGGTATTAGTTTGGAGTGCTGGGAACAGGGACTTTTAATTGGAAATCAATTATCAATGTAGTGATAACATTGACGTTTACTCCCAGACAGAGGCTGTTTGGCTCACTCAGTACCGGTGTCTCTGCAGGGACCTTCTCAGCAGGAGAACTGGGACGCAGGACAGACTTTTGGTGAAGCCAGCAGTGCGTGTGCCTTCAGAGAACTGCTTAATTCTGCTGCTTTGCTTTATCTGGTAATAAATCTCACGGGTTAAGGCCACTGTGCTGCGAGGCGCTGCGGAACCACCGTGAGCAGAGGATGGAGGCACCGGCCCCCCTGGTCCCGGAGGGGCTGCCCCAGGGAGCCACATCCAGGGGGGAGGGAGCAGGTAGACCCCTCCTTGGGAGGGGAACCGGTGATGGAGAGGAGGAATGAGCCCTGAGGAAGAACACCCTTTGCTGTGAGAACAAGGGAGCCGTGGGGGATCCCGTCCCTGCAGAGTGTGAATGGGCTCACGCTGCCAGGGGCTGGAGGGATGCGGGAGCACCGCATCGTGGTCCCCTCTCCCTCCACTGACAATTAGAGGGCATGTAATCAGCTTCTGAAAAGGCAAAGCAAGCCTAGAGAGCAATACAAATCCAATCCTTGGGCAGTTCCCACAGGCAGAGGTGAAGGTGAGGTGGAGGCCACCATCCTCCCTGAGCCCCATTGCCCCCCGAGGCAGCCTTTCCCTGTGGGAAGTGAGGAAGGGTCTTAAGGCGAGAAGTGCCAGGAGGTTTGCACAGGGATTTAATTGCCTGAGGTTTGCACAGGGATTTAATTGCCTGAGGACGGCACAGGCACCGAGAGCTGGAAGCGGTTCCTGCACCCAGGGGCTGGGGGGACCAGGGAGGGGAAGCCACAGGGACGGGTGCGGGAAGGGGTGAGGGCCCACACAGCTCCCGGAGCCCCAAATACTCTGAAACCACAGCCGGTGTTTTTGAGAAAAGTTAAGCAGTTTTATTCAATGGGATGAGTCCACACCCGACCAGTGGCTTCATCTACACGGCACCACCAGCGTACAGGACAGAGGAGCCACTGGGACACGCCAGCTGCACGGCATCTCACCACACGTTACAGAGACAACACCGGAGGAGGAGGAGGACCGTCACACAGGGTGGGCAGCCAGCCCTTCCCTCGGCTTCCCGGCGGAGCCAAACCCATCCCCACCACTGAGGCGTCCCGGATCGGCCCCGGGACATCTCCTGCTGCTCCGTGAAAACCACACCATCACTGTGACACTGCACACCCGGGGTGCACAAACACCGCCTGCCGCGGGGACTTAGAGCATCATGGAATGGTCAGAGGTGGAAGGGACCTTAAAGATCATCAAGTTCCAAGCCCCTGCCCTGGGACTTCAGCCTAAGGAAGAACATGCTCTGTCCCCACCGCCGCGGGGACCAGCGTGCTGCTGATGGACCTGTACAGAGGGGCAACGGCCACAGGTGCCATCGCTTCGGCGACGCCAAGAGGTCCCTGCCGAGGTGGCCGTGGCACCACCAGAGGGGACGGGATGGGACGGGGCAGGTCAGTGGGGAGCTGGGGGTCTGCAGGAGCCGAGCCCAAGGTGGGCCCTCGCTCTGCACAGCAGAGAAACTACTGCTCCGGGAAGATGCCCCCCTCATGGCTGCCCCAGCCCCCCCGGGGTCTCCCCCCACGCTGCCGGCTCCACGGCCCACAGGCTGTGCACCCGTGGAGAGGGATGGAGGATGGGGGCACAGGCACCCTCAAACACCAGCAGGTTCCAGTTACAACCCTCCTACAACGTGCCTGCTCCCATTCTGTGCCAAGTCAGCTTACAGAAAAATACACTTCTTCCCTTAAATTTACAGTAGTTACAACTACAATTTGAAGACCGTATTAAAAAGGGGTAGTTTATTCTTCAACAAAACGCCTTGGTTTTCTTTTTTCTTTAAAAAAAAAAAATTAAAAAGGACTCTAAAAGCAATCACCCCCAGCACAACTGCACAAAGGAAATCATGATGCGCACAGCTCCTAGGACATCACTCCAAGCATTTGTTCTGGTGCTCAAAAAGGCACTTAAAGATAAGAAAACAATTGTATTAAAAACCCACAACAAAACAAAACAAAGGAAAATGAAAGGCAATAATTTAATAGAAAGACACTGGAACTTGTACCGTACCTTCAAAAGTAAGAGGGGAGGAAAAAAAAAACAACCTAATAAGCATGGTTTTGCTATCAAGTCATCTTTGAAAGTATATAAAAAAACCAGAAGACTGGCAAAGTGAATGTTCTCCAGGAACTAAATGGGAAAAAAAAAACCTAATTACTGGCAACGAATCCAGAGCTCTGGTGCCAAATGGGTTCCTCCCCTCCCCCTGAAAGCACATTTGCTGGTTCATTGCTGCCCAGACCCACAGCCTGTTTGAACATCTGCTGCCCCTCACCGCAGAGGCGCTGACCTCAGGGCTGGCCCGAGGCAGGAAAGGGGGGGAAAACTATGGAGAAAAAAAATAAACATCAATAGGAACTAATTGTGGTAATTACAAATGTCAACAATGTTAACAGACAAGTACATAAACACCACTTCCCCTCACAGCGTTACAGGGAGGAACAATGACAGCATCACTACAGACAGTACTTCTCCCCCACTGCACACAGAAAGGTTAGCTTTGCGGCTCGGGGGGGTTTATTCCTTTTTTTGTTATTATTATTATCATTATTATTGGGTTTTATTTTTACATTGAGCTACCTACTAAGTGCAAAGATTTGGTGAGTGGCGTTGGCTTTCATCTACTCTTAGCCTATTTTTTTGTACAGTTTAACATGTTAACAGTTACTTCCCAGCGTTGAAGCAAGAACAGCGATATATACACAGCCCGGGCGGAGCGGGGGGACACATGCAGGGGCTCGGGGACACGCGTGTGACACCGGGTGCGTGCCCGGCCCGGGGAGGTACGCGCTGCCCGGCCAGAGGAGATGATGGGGGGACACAAAGCAGCCCTGGGCAGGGGCAGGAGGGCTCGGGGGCTGCTGTGCCCAGGGACAGACAGCGGCAGGGACCCCGGGTGGGGGCAGGACAGGATGGACGTTCAGGAGCCTTAGCGTGGCTCCTCTCTGCAGCCCAGAGACTCACCACGGCCAGGGCTGGACGAGATCATGTGGAAGCGACCGGATTAAACCACGGGTCATTGCATGGAAATCTGTACAAGGAGAAAAAAAATAACCTGCAGGAGAAGCACAGAGTGTCTTGAATTCAGGGCTCACAGAAGAGACTCGATTATCAGACAAAGTACCATGCAATCCCCAGCTCTTTCTGCATATTTTTTCTCTGGGTTACATGTTCAGAGGAAAAACAAAATGTAGATTCTTTTGCATAAACTCAAACTGTTGTATTATATAGTACAGTACAGAAAGTGCAAAATATCACCCCATCAGATCGGTTCCGCATCTGATATGGTCAAATATGGCTCATGCTTTTCATGCAAGAAGACACAATCTGAATCAAGACCCTCGTGTACTGCTGTGCAACTTCAAAAAAAGGGACGTTGTTGTACCAAAGCCTCCTCACCTCTTTAGTCCCAGCGGTCGAGAGAACATTAGTTGTTTCTTTTAAAAAAAAAAAAAAAAACTAAAAAAAAGAAGTGTGTGGGGAAAGGGAAATGAAGCATCTCGAAACTGGGTAAGTTACTCTATTTATGCTTTGCCACAGGTTTGTCACTAGTCCTTGGTCACTCTGAAATCTTCAAGAAACCCCAAGTTCTGTGTCCTCCCCAGCAGCCGAGGGAGCTGCCTTCTCCTCTGTCCCTGCTCCCCTGGGGGACACTGGCCGGGGCGTCACGGAGCTGCCTCCTCCTCTGTCCCACACACCGGCAGTTCTTCTCTGCAGGCCAGCAGTGAACCAAACCAAACCCACCGTGTCTTGTCTTCCCCCTGCTCCCTTTGTTTTTTTTTTCCCAAATGCTGAGAGGTGCAGAAAATGAACTCCAGGATGGGCCTTGTATTGCTCGACACACAGCCGCTACGTACCTCCACACACACACACACACAAATAGCCCGGGAAAATCCCAATGTCTCTAGAGAGGACATTTCAGAGCCAGTTTCTGAGGTAAATCTACTTTTTTTAAAAAGTCACCGAATTCTGTACACTTTTTTTTTTAATATATACTTCTAGATATAGCATGTATTCTCCAGTGCCGACATGTAGACCCACCATCTCCTCCTGCCATAGGACTGCAAGCGTGGGAAGTGTTTCTGCATGGATGGGGGTGTGTGTGCACACGTATGTACATACACATACACGTATGTACAACCGGCCATCAGGCCTCGGCCACGTGCTTGTTCCCCTTCTGGAGGGCTTCCTCTTGAGCAGGGCTTTGGCCCCGCGTGGTGCCAAGCCACCGGCCCTGCTCCTGCCGTCCAGGCGCCACCCCAGCCTACATGGTGCCCGATTTGTCTGCCGAGCTGCTGGGGAAGAGCTTCTCGGTGGGGGTGACGGCGGGGCTGCCCACCCCCGAGCTGCTGCTGCTGCTGGAGCGGTGCTGCACCACCGGCCGCACCGGCCGCATCGGCGGGGGCCGCAGCTGGGCCCCAGCCAGCCGGGCCGACAGCGCCGGCTTGAAGGTGGTCATCATCTCGGTGGTGGAGCTGCTGCTGCGCCGCATGGCAGCGTCGGGGTCCCGGATGAGGATGGTGTGGAGGGGGCTGGTGGGCTCTGAGTTGGCGGCGCCCATCGGGGGGTTCTTCATGGGCTCCAGCGTGTCCAGGACCACGTCGGGGGCCTGCTTGGCTGTGTTCTGCCTCTCCAGCTCCCGCAGCTCATTCAGCGCCGTGCTCATGGTCTTCTCGATGTCCTGTGAATGCCACCAACAAAGGGATGTCAGCACCGTGCCACAGCACGGCCCCACTCTCCCACACCCACCCCATGGCACCCTGCCCTGGCACGTGTGTGTGCAAGGGGGTCTCTGACCTAAGACAGAGCCTCCAGGCAAAGCAGGACCTTCAGGAGAAGATGTAAACCCCAAACTCTGGCCACACAGAGGCACCCCACATCTCCCAAGACAACAGGAGTTTGGTTACCAGCTCCACAGGTAGCAAACCCCAAGCACCACGAGTGATGGGGTGACCACCAGCCTGTCCACAGCTCCACCGGGACAGGTCATCTCCGCACCCTCACCCAGCGCTGCGGCTGGTCTTTCCCAAAAGGTGCCGCTCTGCAGCCTCCACCCACTGAAGGGGACTCTGCTGTCCCTGTGCCTGCGGGGCAATGGCAGGTGTGGGGACAGAAAGGCACAGGGACGTGTCTGGAGTGAGTAGCACGATGGCAGCTCACCATAAACAGAAGAGAGGCAGGGAGGAGGCCTCTCCCTGTGCACGGGGAGGCAGCTGAGGGGACACTGGCCCCAACCTTCACCTCCCACCTCAGGTCACATCTCCTAGGCATGGCCTGCATGGGCCCATCTGAGGAGACCCTCTAGAAAGTGAACCCGGATCAACTGAAAGTTGCCTGCAACTGCAACGGTGATCATCTTCAGAAACAGAGAGGTCCTAGTTTGCCTTCACTTAAATCCTGAATTAAGGCCACTAACTCAGAAAGAGACAATCTGAAAAGTGACTGAAGGCAACGGAGTCAATCATTTAAAAAGTAGCTCTCGTTAACTCTCCTTACTGTCCTTGTGTAGATGAGTCCTTAATTTTATAATGTGCACAAAACACTCGATGAGCCTCAGATAATGTTCAGAGAATCAGCAGAAGGGAAATAATTATCAAGTTAGCTCCAATTAATTCTATTAAGTGGTTCAGATAATGAGTGAAAATACTCTGTCCAGCAGTCCTACCAGCTGAACGAGAATCTTCTCCAAGGCTTAAAAAAATAACCCAAAAGCATAAAAGCCAAGAAAACTGTGCCTATCACGCTCTGTCCTCACCATTCACTGGTCCCTCCGGAGGGTCCTGGACCCCCAGCCCTGCACCGCCCCTGGGGAACACAGCCCCAGGGTGCCACCTACGCCCACCAGCCCAGCCTGGGGACATCGTCCACGCTGTCACCCCGTCCCAAGCCGACGTGGTGGCCCAGCTGCAGCCATTGCTGAGGGCAGGCGCTGTGCTACCATCATAGCTGTGTAAACTGATGACACCAAAGGCAAGCTCTCGATGGACAGAGAAGCTGGGGAGCGTGCTGCAGAGCGAGAGAACAAGGAGCACAGCTGGTGGGAAAGCAAACAGGACAGTAAGAGTTCTTCCTTCCTGCAATCATCGTTAATTACCCCACTGAAAGCAGCTGATGGGACATGTAAGAGCCTGCCAAACCCTGTGGCACAGGGGCTGCTGCTCCACCTGGGCATCACCCACCGCCCCACAGCTCTGCTCCCACCGGAGGCGGTGCTGGGGGTACTGGGAATTTAACCAGCAGCGTGGAAGCGATGGCCTAGTGTGATGCTGGTAATGACACTGCATGGCTGGAGGGGCTGTACTGGAATCAGGCGAACATGTTGAGGACCCAGCTACATACAGCCAGTAACAAATGTGAAGTACTATCCTCCAAACACTGAGCATCAGTCAGATTCTGATTTAGCAAATCCAGTTTTCTCCTCTTAAGCTCCTTACGGAGCGTCAGATGAAGATAATGTGTTTCCCTCCCTGTGGGAGCTTAGAGCTGCCAGCACATCTCGGTGGTGGATCGAACGTTTCTGTCTACGGTTCCAAAGAAACAAGGTTTGTGGAGGGAGGCAGCATCTTTTATCAGACCAAGCGGTACAGCTGGAAAAGCAGGCAATCTGTTGGCTGCTCATTTTTACCTTTAAACCGTGGCAGCTACAGCAGCACTGTAATTCTGAAGTGTGTTGAGATGGAAGGGGCTCTGCGGCGCTACCCCGGTGACTTTTCTTTCAGCCCCTCGATCCCTGGGGACCGAGAGCCGCTTCACAACCCTCTTACCTCAGCCAGCGCCTCTGCTTCTAGAGATTTCTGATCTCCGAGACTACTGTGTCTAGTCGATCCACAGGTTGATCTCAGCGGGTGGCCATCAGACAAGGCCTTCCTGTCTGGGAAATTGATGCTGCCTGCACTGCCGAATGTCGCCATTCTGCGCTTTTCGGGACTCTCAATCCTGCCCCTGTTAAGAGGTATTTTGTGAGGGCTGCTAGGGCAGGCCGCTGCTCGAGGAGGAGTGTCTATGCCGGGACCCATCCCTCGGGGCGGGCTGTGGGTGTCCCCCCCGCTTCGACGGCGAGGGATAGCGGCACCGTCAGACCTCAATCTCACTCTGCAAAGAATCCATCACAAGACTAGGTCACCGTCCGTCAGATCGAAAGCGTCTGGTCGCATGCTGCAAGACAACTGCTCAGCTCTGAGAGTTCAGATCAAACCGAACCCCAGCCTCTCAGCTCCAGAAGACTAAGGCAAGAGGGAAGACAGACAGTTTAGCCAGCGCCAAGAAAGAGACAGCAATTCTGCCTTTTTACTTGTTAAGATCTATGTTAGCAAGGCACACGAAAACCCCCTGCATGCTCATATTACTCTGCAGTGCCTACTGGAGCCTTCCCTTCTGCCCTGCCCTACACCACACACCGACTCTCCCCGCACGTGACAGCGGCCGCCTCAGTGTTCATAGGAAAAGGAGAGTGTCCCTACCGGCCCATAACTCCCCCAAAGCCATAGTCCACAATGTGATCTGTCGGAGATTGGATGTCGTTCTTGGAGGAGGCCTTATCATCCAGCAGTGGCCCGCTGCTTGCCTCGCTGTCCGCCTTCTGGCTCAGGCTGTCGGAGAAGGCATCGTCCCTAGGGAAAGGAAAGGAGACCCCCTCAGTACCAGGGCTCTGCCCCAGGAGAGGGACCTGAACTTCCCCACTCCAGCAGCTCCAGGCTTTGTCAACAAAGGGCTGGACAGAGGCCACCACTGAGTGCCCAGAGCTCGGGCAAAGCGAACGCCAGGTCTCCATATCCCCCTGCGCTGCAGTTGCCATTTTAATGAATCCGAGTATGGTGCTTGTAACAGAAGTGGCATTTGTGAAGGACCCGGGATGTGCCCACTGGCCAGGTGGCACCAACCAATGCCAGGACAGTGTACACAGTGGGCAAGGGTCGTGCCACCTCGAGCAGTCAATGACAGACAGGGCTCAGGCACACTGAAGTGCACTGTTTGGTGCTTGGCTTTACCAGCCTGAACCAGAAACAATGTGAGGCAATAAATGGAGAGGGATACGTGAACACACCCAGATTTCTCAGCAAAGCCATTCAACCAGGGAAAATCTGGTCACCTATTTTAGGGGGCTGAAGACAGACTTCATGTCAGAATGTGATTTTAACAACCTAGATCAACAGGCGCCACTTGACTCACATGTCTTGCACCACAATGTACTGGTGGGGTATGAGGCCATCCACACCGTTGTGCCTCCCTTCCCACCAGTCTTCTGATGCCCGATGGTACAGGAGGAGCGAGGCCCCTTTCTTAAAGGAGAGCTCTCGGGGAGACCGTCCGATGTAGTCAAACTTCGCTATGGCTTCAATCTGCTCCACTTCTGTAAAAGAGAGAAGCACAGAGAGAGGAAAGCTCAGTTCAACAATCACAATAAATCCTAGAAAGAGGCATCTCCTCAGAACAGCACTAACGCTGCTGCTCTAGCTTCCCAAGAGCATCTTACGCTGAGTACAAACCATCTTATTTTTAGACTGATCACTTCTTTTTGTTCCTCCAGCCCTCCTGGAATTTCTCACAGACTCACAAACTACCAGCAATTACAAAAAGCTACAAACCAGATGGGGAGTAGCTGAAATCTCCCTGTGTGCATATCTCATCACCACCCACGCTCCCATTTTCTACCTATAAAGTGATTTCTTCGGTTACAGAACCCCATTATCCTCCAGACTGGGATCTTGTCAAGCTGTGTCAGACACTGTGATCAAAGCCCCGCTTTACCTTCTCTTCCTTTCCTTATCCTGGAGACAGTTTAGTCTGAATTATTGATGAGGAACGAATCCTCCTTTGGGGATCCCCACAGACATGATGACACCGGCTCTGGCCAGGCGGCTGCTCTGCATCACCCCCCCCATCTCACACCGGCACCCTACCTCACCACTTCCCCACTTGCTCTAATTTAAGCTCTACCAGATACCAGGGATTCACAAACTGGGAGCTCATGGCCTGAAATTCAAGAGGGCTGAGGCAGGACTTCCCTCTGGGAGGCGGTGAGCATACCAGGAACCCTTGAGCTCCTGGCCAAGGGCCTCGCAGTGGGATGTGCACCCAGAGAGGAGCCTGGTTGGTACTGGGGAGCCTGTGGAGGAGTCCAGCCCTTCTGCAAACCTGCTTCCAGCTGGGAATCCCAGAGAACCCACTGCAGCAACTGCAAAGCAGCGACAGCATTTCTCTCCACCTCACTGTGCCCCGAGACAGGGGTGGAAAAGCAATGGTGGAAAGTTGGGTGGAAAGCTGCCACCACCCAATTATCTCTGGCCACTATGGGAGCCAGCAAGCAAGCGGTTAATGTACCTTGATTATTTGAGACACCAATCGTTTTAAATCCCACCACCTGGAGACAGGCAGATGGTGATGACAAAGCTAAACAGGGCAAATCCACCCAGTTCCTCCAGATCTGTCACGTTCTCATTAAAACATGGAAACTTGCTCTGCTCTGTCTGCCTCGTCACTAACGACAGGCTCGGCATCAGCACCAACCAGGATGTGACCCATCCCTCTGCCCAGCCACAAAACCCACACCAGAGGGCAACATGGGAGATGCTGGACCAGGACCCTGCCCTGGTCCCAGACAGGTCACTTCAACAAAGCGATTTTCCCCAGTTTAAAATACACACCCACAGCACTATGAGCCGCAGGGCGCTGGGGAGCACTGGGGTGGACCAGTGGGGAATGCTCTGGAGGGGGGGCAACCAGGAGGGGTCTCACAGCCTGATAAAACGTTGAGTTTCGCAGCAGGGAGGGTGCGTGGGGTGAGGGAGAGGGGAAGGAGTAGTATGTAAATTCACAAAATAAAGCTGCCCTTCTTTTCCACACTTGCACCACAGTTAATCACCCGGAAACTCCAATCAGAGCTATTAATGTGACCATCCAAGCATAAAATTGGCTAAATGGCAGCTTGCTCTCCTTCATCTTCCAGTCCTGTCGGCTCCTGTCTGGAGCTGAAAGCAGGTCCTGAGCCGTCCTGGCCCAGCTGTGCCTTTCCCCCCCTCCCCGCGGTGCCAGCCACCGGGGCCAGCCCTCCTGCCGCGGCGTAATGGAACCGGCTGAAAGACACACACCTCCCGCACTTCAGAGTGCCCCCACCTTTACTGGTTTCCCCATAATGCATCCAAGGGACCCCACTGAACACAGCCCGTCTCCCCCATGTCACCCCCATCCCCCCCGGCTCTGAGAGCCGTTTCACACAGCACGTCCTCCCCATCGCACGGCTGCACGTCAGCACAGGTGACAAGGGGAAGGAAAAAAATACGTGGGATTAACGGAGTCTCATAGAACAGCTCCAAAAAACCAACCCCTGCATCCTGCCATTTAGGCAGAGACTGTGAAGGTCCATGCACACCCTACGGGGAAAATCTATACGCAACATTTATTGCTTATTACTAAGTACACAAAAATGTCGTTCCCAACCAGACTGCCAGACACTAGTCCAGGCTCTAACCCGAGGAGGGGCGAAGTGCCTGCTGCGCCCCTGCACACACAGCTCTGCTAACACAGACCCCACTCTGCTGCTCACCTTCGTCACTGGTGTGTGGCTCCGTGCCGTTGTCATGGTCAACTTCATCGATGGTGCCTGGCTCGCTGTGCGGGCTGTCACTGAAATAAAATACACCGTGCTTTCAAAGAAAGAATGAGATTTCTGTTCCCAAGGCACTTAGCAAAGTAAGTTGTTGAGAGAAATTCTGGCCCCAGTGACACCTGAAAGAGTTATGGTTTTAGTTCTTGCAGGACTGAGATGGTCATTTTAAATCACAGCAGTTCCATGAACTTGCTTTGAGAACAGCAGACACTCGCACCACGACCTTCAGGCCCAGAACATCACGTTCTGTTGCTCATGCATCTTACTCAGATCTGGCAAAACAAATATAAGGTGATACCAGGTTGAAATGTTCTGCACAGTCATCCAAAGTGAGTTTTAGCACTTTATCCTCTGCTTGCCCCAGTGAGGATGGCGGCAGGTGATCAGCGTCAGGGAAGATTAGGTCTCAGAAATGTATTAAACTCACACAAAAATCAGTTCAAGTCAGTTACAAATATTGGTTTCTTAAAACTCAGACCTGAATGGACCTGAATTCCAGCATCCTCCAGACAAAGGCATAACATCACTTACACTTGGAGTGGGGGAGTTTGTGGATTGTCCTACCCTGGCTGTACCACGAGGGCGAATGGTGCACCAGCAGCTGCGATGCAAAGCAATCGCACACGGCTGGGCCCGTCCCCGTGAATGCAACCTCATCTGTCCAATGCTGACACAACAAAAAGAACTGGAAGGTTCAGCTTAACTTTGGGCTACAGAATTTCATCCAACTAGCAAGTTATAATGGAAACATGGGACTTAACTTCAAAATTCCAGCCTAGGAGGAATTTGGTTAGAATTGACCTCAATTTCTGGTTTTTCATACTTATGTGAATCTGCAGCTAAAAGATTTTTTAATAGATATTAATATTCATATTGGAAACAATTTTCTCCTGAAGATTTTACTGAGGTTTATAACGCTGAGTCAGCATGAAAAATATGGAAAGAAAAACTCAGTGAAACTGCCTCTGCTTTCACCAGCTAGGGCTAAAATGAAAAGCAAAACTGATGTGAGACTAATTGGTTAGATGTGTAAAATCCTCTTAGTGTTACGAAGAATATTTAAAACTAAGAACCATAAGGGCAGCCTGATATGAAGTGAGATTCTTACCCAGTATGAAACAGCGCAAGCATATCAAATATTTATCACTTGCACAGCTAATTCGTGACATTTAACAGGAATAAATTTTAAAAGGCATTTATTGCCCCTTCTACAGAGGGGCAAATTCACCCCGGTGCTGTGCTCAGTTGCCCTGAACATTGTGTGACCTTCCCCAAAGCTCTCCTCGGGGATCTGCTCCCGAGATCCCTCCTCCTACCCTGGTGGGAGCTCAGGTCAGCTCTCGGGCCACCAGGAATCACGCCAAAGCTCTGCCTTTCTCACAGGTTCACTCTCAACATGCGGCTCCAGAAGACAACCCTGCCACGGGGACCCGGCTCAAAGTCCTGCACCCCATGGAGTGCTACCCCGCTCCTTACCAGTACTCCTCCCCTCCCGTCATGCACTTCTCGTAGACAGGTCCTTCCAGCTCTCTGTGGCTGGGGAAGATGCCCTCGTGGTTGATGATGATGGTTTTGATGACCTCATTGACGTGGGCTTGGCAGGACACCGGATCCTGCCCGTCTGGAATGTGCATCAGAGTGGGCCCGAAGCAGATGGCCAGGTTGTAGGGATCCATCATGTTCTCATCGCTGTACTGCGACAAGCTGCAAGCACCAGCGTTAGGGAGGGGTGGTGCCAGCTCCCCCCATTCCCTCAGGAAAGCCTCCCACCAGCAAACCCCCCGGCACCCAAAAAACAACCATCACCGAGCTGTACACCTTCCCTGAACACAGCCACAGCGAGGCTGTGAGGGGGCAAAATACAACTCTCCCTGGCAATACCAAAAAGGACTCATGCAAGAAAGACAGGAAGCCCTGAAAAAAAGGAGGGCGAGGAAAAATTCCATAAATGAGGAAAAAAAAAGACTTACTGATTAAGAAAAGCAAAAAGATATCTCATGACGACGATGACAGCCCGAGGCAGAGTGATGATGATTTGCTGGATCTGGTGCACTCTCTCGGTGGGGTTCTCGATTTCTGGCACACATGGACAGAAAGCACATCATTAAACTTCCTCAGGACCAGGCAACACGGCACCAGAGGGACTTGTTCCAGACCCAGTAGCCCACTATGAGAGGAAAACAACAGCCTGCTTCCAGATTAGATCCACTGGTCTGGCACTAAGGTGCCAGTGGAGAATTGGGGACCGCGCTCTTCCACTGGTGAATTCAAACGTACGTTCAGATTTAGTATAAACACCAAATAAAGACATTGTCTTTTTTAAATATCTGTTTATGCATTATTTAGTTCATTCCTCAACAACTACTTTACTTCTCAAAAGCTTTAGGTAGGGGGAAATGGAGCACTGCCTGGCTTTCCAGTGCAGACTTTAAAATGAGGTTTTTATTCTCTTGACTTACGGGTTAACCATTGGGGCCCCTGAGCCCGTCTGCTCCAGTCTCCCACTGGTCTTCATGGGAACTGAATCTGAACCAGTTCTGAGTCAGCACTGTAAGGCTCACTTCTCTCCCTGGCAGCGCACACACCCCACAGCTGCTATCAGAAACCAGCTTCCTTCTGCAGGAACAGGGGGCTTAGAGCCATCTGCTTTTGGTGCCAGCCCCCTGGGAGCCCCCGCAGCCCTGCCCCAGGGCCATGCTGATACCCCCTGCAGTAGCCACCTTTGCCTGCAGAGTTGCCAGAGCCCTGCCCCGACCCACCAAGGGGCTCAGCACCGTCCTGCAGCAGCCGCAGCACATTCCAGCCCCTACTCCTTTTTTAAAGCTGATATCTGCTCAGTGTATTATGTAGGCAGTTAATCCTGTGGCTTTTATTTTACAGAAAGTGGACAAAGAGTACCAAAGCTTTCCTGAGAGCACTCACCCTCAGAAGCACGGAATAAGCCACATCAGTGGAGAGATGCTTACTTGATTATGCTGGATCAAACTCTCTGACATTTGCTAATGGTAATAAAATCCACTGACAACACGTAGCTGGGCTGTCATTGGTTCAAACAGTCTGAGCAAAATTTGGCTTCAGTCCAAAGACGGAAATCTTTATAATAGTTCACTTTGGAAATTTCTGAGGAATGCATTTATCCCCTGTTATTGCTCACTGGCCTCTCTACTTCTTCAGTTTGGTTTTACTTAAGAGGACTTTTTTTTAAAAAAACAAATAAATAAGGACTGGATAAAGCCCTACAACAATAGTTATCTGTTCTGAAAGCCAGAGGAACAAAGTGTCTTGAAGCACTTGCCTTTTTTCACTCCGCAGAAATGTTTCAACTGGCTGTAATTCAGAGGAATTAACGGAGTAATCATCAATCACTGGAGAATGCAGGCACACCCCTGAATGAACCTCTGCAAACAAAGTGCCTTTTCTATCCATCCATTTCTCACGCGGATTTGGGGAACGTTTCCATGTAAGCCCTCCGTGCCCGAGAGCAGAACCCAGCCCTCCCAGCAGCCCCGCTTCCCATCACCTCCATGGGGACGGATGGGCACTGCGGGCCCTGCCATGCTCACTTCTCTCCCTGGCAGCGCACACACCCCACAGCTGCTATCAGAAACCAGCTTCCTTCTGCAGGAACAGGGGGCTTAGAGCCATCTGCTTTTGGTGCCAGCCCCCTGGGAGCCCCCGCAGCCCTGCCCCAGGGCCATGCTGATACCCCTTGCAGTAGCCACCTTTGCCTGCAGAGTTGCCAGAGCCCTGCCCCGACCCACCAAGAGGCTCAGCACCGTCCTGCAGCAGCCGCAGCACATTCCAGCCCCTACTCCTTTTTTAAAGCTGATATCTGCTCAGTGTATTATGTAGGCAGTTAATCCTATGGCTTTTATTTTACAGAAAGTGGACAAAGAGTACCAAAGCTTTCCTGAGAGCACTCACCCTCAGAAGCACGGAATAAGCCACATCAGTGGAGAGATGCTTACTTGATTATGCTGGATCAAACTCTCTGACATTTGCTAATGGTAATAAAATCCACTGACAACACGTAGCTGGGCTGTCATTGGTTCAAACAGTCTGAGCAAAATTTGGCTTCAGTCCAAAGACGGAAATCTTTATAATAGTTCACTTTGGAAATTTCTGAGGAATGCATTTATCCCCTGTTATTGCTCACTGGCCTCTCTACTTCTTCAGTTTGGTTTTACTTAAGAGGACTTTTTTTTAAAAAAACAAATAAATAAGGACTGGATAAAGCCCTACAACAATAGTTATCTGTTCTGAAAGCCAGAGGAACAAAGTGTCTTGAAGCACTTGCCTTTTTTCACTCCGCAGAAATGTTTCAACTGGCTGTAATTCAGAGGAATTAACGGAGTAATCATCAATCACTGGAGAATGCAGGCACACCCCTGAATGAACCTCTGCAAACAAAGTGCCTTTTCTATCCATCCATTTCTCACGCGGATTTGGGGAACGTTTCCATGTAAGCCCTCCGTGCCCGAGAGCAGAACCCAGCCCTCCCAGCAGCCCCGCTTCCCATCACCTCCATGGGGACGGATGGGCACTGCGGGCCCTGCCATGCGTGCAGCAGCACCCCCAGCAAAACCAGCAGGGGGGCACTTACTGAGCGGGGCTTCTCGGAGGAAGGAGGCTCCTTCAGTCTGCTCAGGCTGCGACACCTATTACACAGCACACACCTGTGTGCCTTTGAGGTCAGATTTTTGATGGGAACAAGGCGCAAAATCTATCACAGAATCAATCTGTATTTCCCTAATCGAAAGGCACCAACAGCAACAGGAAAAGAAAGGAAAGATGAGGGAAAGGAAGAGTCTTGCTATAAAGCGAAAAAAATAGAGCGAATACTATTCAGAACATTAACAGATGATGTTTGCAACAAAAAGCTCCCAAAAGCTTAATAAATTGTGCAAATTGGCATTAATTAGGGATGACTGCCAAGCCTATTTGCAAGCACACCGTCACATCACCAAGCACTGGGCACACCAAGCACTGGGCACTTTTCCTGTCCCCTGTCCCCTCTCAGGGTGCCTGCTCTGCCCTCGGGGAGGGCAGTGGCACCAGGGCTGCGAGGCCAGGCTAAAGCTTCTGTCCAGGACACAGAATTGGTGCAGAAAGAGCTTCTTTGTGTGCCACGTTACAGGTGTGCTGTGCTGTTTGCCACATCAGGACTGAAAGGCGGCGGCAAATTTCCTGAAGCTACTCTATAAAACACTGTTCTTCAAAAATAGGAGCACATTCTTCTCCTTCTGGAACAAGCCCATCCCTGTGCCATTCCCCTCTAGGTATCATCTGTCTGTCTTGCCGTCACTCAATCTCCAGCAGTCATTAACACTGAGCAGGGGGCAGGAGCCAGGAGCAGTGACAGCCAAAGGAAGGACCTCAGCATGTCTTCACCAGTCACTCCCCTGAAGCGACCCACGACCGAGACACTCCAACCCCCAAACCACCCCAACACCTCTTCTGTAAAACGAAGCCATCCTGGAGCCAAAGCGCACAATACGCTCCTCCATCGTCTCCAAGATGTCAAATTCATTCTGTCTTCTTCCTTCCCCCCAGGGCAGTAACTTCCATGCCTTGCCAATAAATAAATGTCACCACTACAAGGTACTGAGAGAAATAAACCCCACCTGGGATAGCTGGGTCTTCACTTGCAGAGGAACAAGTGGAGCCAGGAGGAGAGTTCAGAATAAGAAGCAACCGGGCTCTCCCTGACATCAATCCCACACCTTTCATGATTAAAAACCCTCAGCTTCTACCTCTGCCCACATCCCAAAGCACCTTCTTGTTTCTCTGGGACAGGAAATGCACACAGCAAATGCCTGGAGAACTGCTGAGCAAGCGAGGCTGAAACCAAGGCTGCAGACTCAGGGGTGGAAGAAGCTTTCTGCGTAGCCCAGAGCTACTCACCTCCATTTCATGTTTAGCAGAAGACACTGAGGTAAAGCAGCAAAGCCCCGTTGTGTCCCCAGAGCCAGGGCTGGATGGCACATGGTGACAGGCCAGCAAAGGACCCGCTGTTCCCACAGGTATACTCAGGTCCCCTCAGGACCTGTACATCCCACGTTTATTGCTTCTCTTGTCCCACCCTATTCTCTGAGAAGAGCCATCACATGTACTTACTTATAGTAGATATCAAATCTTGAAACCTTTCCTTAGGAAAGAGGGGGTTTTCCAGTCCTCGGAAATACAGCTTCAAGACTCCAGCCACTGAATTAATGTCACGCTCATTTTGATCATCGGCAAGGGGATCTTCACCTGCCCAGAGAAGAGGTTTCATTTCCAGCATTATTGTCAAGTTGGACTAACACAGTGGTTTTCCCTAACTGAGCAGAAACCCAAAACTTTTCCCAGCTCAGGAACCCCTCCTGGTGCACTGGCAATGCTATGTGTTTTGCCGGCAAGAGGAGAGTTTAATAAGGTGCTTTGTTACACAGCACCATGCTGAGACGTGTTACAGCCCTACCTACAGAAACCCAGCTCCTTGCAGAGATTTCAAACCTGTCCTGCAGATGTTATTAATCAGTATCTTTTCATTCTCCAGCCCAGTGCATTTCTGCATTTATGGCAACAGCTCAGAGCTGAGCAGATCTAAGTGATGGTGGGTGAATGCCTGAGAAGACAGGCTTGGCTGGAGGATGCAATTATGCCTCTGGAATAGACTGAATGGTTCTGGATAACATTGTACTGACTTAAATCTACAAAAGGCTTTCAAAAACCTAAGGGATTTGGATACCGATTCCTCTTAAATTGGATGTGCAAATCCTCCTGCCTTTGGCAATCCCAGCAGTGCCTTATTCCTTGGCCTGGCCACCTTCACCCTCATCCTCCCGATGCTGCTCAAATGACTGATGACATGGAGGCCGTTACCCCCCTCTAGCCCATCCCTTCCACAGCTTCCCCATCACCTGGTGGCAGCAGGGCTGCTCTGCCCTCTCTTGCCAGGCTCACACCTCCCATGCCTTGCTGGGACACGCCATCCCAGTGGTACCTGCACGCCCCAGACACGCACCTCTCTCAAAGGAATTCTTGATGTCGTTGACTTCCACCTGGGAGCCAGGGACTCTGAAAATGCCCTGCTGCTGAAGGCCTGGAAAAGAACAGCGCTTTAGAAAAAATTGCTATAACTGTTACGCGGTACTTTCTGGTAAAAAGCAGAAACTATGAGTCTATGCCCCCAGAAAGGCTCAGAGCAAGCAGGGGACAGCCTGCTGCCATTCGTTCCTGCCCCTATTCTCCAACCAAGGCCTCCCAGATCAAAGCACTGAAGGGGCTCCTGTTGGCCAGGAGCCTGAACAAACAGTTTAACCTGAATAAGTGCTAACAAGACCTAAAGATTTGCCAGTCATCCAATGCTACATCACAATCAGTGCCGCTGCAATTACAGCCTGAGCCCAGGCAGCAAGGGCTGCAGGCGTCCCTCCTGTATTTCTCTGCCAACTGCAAGTATTTCCTTTCCTTTGCAGAAAGCTCCTGTTGATAACATGGAATCAACTTACCGTACAAATTGATGTAGCGAATGCAGCTTTCTACTACAAGCGGAATAGCCTGTCCTGAATCCTTCAGGAAAGGAAAGGAAAAAGTGAAAAATTACTAGTTTATTGACAACAAAGCACAGGAAATGCATTAAAGATTGCAAAAACAGAGATTTGAAAATCAGTGCCATTGAGTTTAGTGAGAGGACAGGCAAGAAAAGGAGGCGTTACACACATCAAGCCATCAAGAAGTGCTGAGTAGACTATGTGCAGTCAATTATGCACAGAAAAAGCTTTCACTAAGCGTGTGAAGGACTGCTGCTCGCTACCTGGCTGAGGCAGGGGGCTGGTGCAACAGGATCTTGGCTATTCCATTTCAAAGGTGTAATGCTGAGCCAAAATAAAACTCGTGCTGTACCTGTCTGATGAAATAAGCTTCCAGTAACAGAGCTTACAACAATATTTCCACCTGAAGAAAGAGCCATTGTCAGCAGATGCTAAAAAAAAAAAAACCAAAACACCACAGTGTATGAAAGGAACTGCCTGTATCTGAACCTGCAATGAGTTTTTGGTTCTGTTTCAAAGCTGCTTCTCTCCAGGCCCCTCGTGGAAGGAGCCCAAGGGGGAACGTGAGCCGTGTCTGACTGCCTAAGCAGACATTTATTTTCCTTAGGGGCTTTGTTTGGTTGTTTTTCCAGTAGAGTACAGTTGCATCTCTCTGATTAATCTACTCCGTCTCGTGGACGGGCCTCCAGTAAATACCTGGTTTCTCGTTCGCGCATTCCTCCTTCCTCTGAGAACACAAAAAAGCAGCAGAGCGGGAAAAAAAGAAAAGATTAAGCAAGGATAAGTTCAGTTAGAGGTGAGCATGTCTTTCGGAGGCCATGAACGCTCAAATGCAATGGCAGCTTAGCAAGGTCCAACCCAGGCCTTCAGGCTGTCCACCCACCCTCCCAAACCCTGTCCGGCACCCTGCACCCCAGCCTCGGCGACCGCCAGAAAGAGCCTCTCAGATTTCTCAGATTTCTTGGATTTCTCCCTTCCCTGCACCGGCAGCACCCGCAGTTGCCCGGGGCTATCACTAGCCCCCACTCGGGTGCAGGTGATGCTCAGCAAGAGCCATCCCAGCGTGGGGACACCGGGCAGCCGCCCACAGACCCACGCGTGTCCCACGGCAGCGTGGGGCCTTAGCCTTGGGGACAACCCGGCACCACAGCACTGTCCCCGACGGGTCTGCGGGGACAGGACACCCGTCTGCTCAGATACATCCCCACTGCAGCTAACTCCTCCTCCACCACGCTGAACGGGCAGACTTCAATGAGCACTGCTTTTTTAAAAATCAGTTTAAGTAAGGAATAATTACAAGTATTAAAGAGATGACAGGCTTGGCCAGCCAGGCCTGTGTATTACTTGTGACAGTGCACTGTTCATAAACACTGCCCTAGTCTCACGGGTGCACTAAAAGAGCCAAAGAGAATAAACTGGAGACAGACAATGCCTATTATTTTACCTAATCCAAAAGTTTGTCATTACTGCTTCCTACAGTACTTTCATTAACGCTTTCTTCAGCACAGGATTAAACACTCTGAGCAACTGAAATGGCATCGCTTCCTCTGGAAATCCTTCCACAGCCAGGCAACAGCAAAGTGCTGGATTTCGGAGGATCAGCAGCTGGATAGCTGGGAAGTATTCTTGGGGACAAATCCCACATCCACATCTCTTCATTTTTCTCCTCAAATCTCTCCTGGGTAATTTCCTGGGAAGAGCAGGAGTCCCTTGCATGGGGACTGCCCTGGTATTAACTGAGTTCATCTGAGCTCACCCCAGCTTATGGGAAGATTATACCTTAGAAGAATATACAGTATTTTAGAATATACAGTATTTCAATTGAAGGCTGCCAGCCCTTATAACTGGGAGACACATTCTGGGAGCTCAAGAGTCATTCTACTGTCCCCCTCAGCTGTGAGGAAGACAATCACCAAAAATGTGTGGAAAAAGGGAAGGTGGGGGATCTGTTGATCCTTTGAGGGTGCTGGGCTGGGCTGTCCTCACTGTCTGATCTTCCCTGCCAGGACGGGTGGAAGCAGCACTGGACGATGGGGACACTCAGCCAAGATGCTGGCCATGTGCTGGCCAACACGGCCAACGGCCAGCAGCCACAAGGGTCCTCCCTGCTACCCTCTCCCCGGGGCATGCGAGCGGTGAAAGGATGGGGAACACAAGGAACACATGAGGGACAAGGACAGCTATGGAGAGAAATCGTCACCGAGGCAAAGCGTGCACTGGCCACGTCAGCCGGGTGCAGGGCAGACCGGAGAGACCCCGCTGAGGACAGAAAGCAGCCAGCGGTTAGGACAGGAAAGCCACCATTACATTCACAGCGTTCATAAACTCTTACTGTCAGCCAGCGAGTACCTTAATGAACGTTTCCATATTGCCGTTAAAAAGTTTATGATTATAGACTGAGAGAGGCCTAGGTCTCCTCATTTTCTGTGGCTTAGGGGGAAGACATGGGGGCCTGGGAGAAAATGGAACAAAAGAAATCAACAAAACACCAACATAAATGCAATGACAGGGTGAGATCTCAAAGGTTATGACTGAGAATGAAAAATAAATCCAACAGAAAACCCCTCTGTGAGGACTCAACAGGCAGCTCCACACACTCTGCAGCCGCTCACGCTTCAGTGTTCCCCCATGAAGGCGGCCCCACTGGGAGCTGGGGGACTTGCCAGGAGCCCAGCTCCACACCCTGCGTCCCGCACAGCTCCGGGGAACGTGCCCTCAATGCAGACCCGCTTCCAGCAGCCTGGGGCGGGCTACCCTCACACTCAGCTGGCTAGCTCCTCTTGGAGCCCGTGCCACCATGTCCCAGAGGCCAGGCTGAGCCCGGCGCAGCCAGCAGGCTTCAAACGGGCAGCAGAGCTACCAGAGCAAAATCAGAGCTGTTCACTACGTGCTGCACACGATTTCAAGTCAAGGTCAAGGCTGCAGCCTCTATTTAAGTAATAAATTCCAATTAATCCCGATAACAGAAACATTTAACAGCAATAAGCCAACCTACCCATCACTCTCCACCCCTATAATCTTCCAGTATTTCCCTACCAGACAGACTCTACCCTCGGCTGCAGTCACATACAGCAACCCAACGAGCTGTTGCTATGGACCTCCTGAAGAGACTGAGTTCTATTGTAAAAACCAGTTGTCTCCAGAACCCAGACAGTGACAGAGCAGTAACTACCCCAACAGCCACAGCCTGAACAAACCGGGGGCGATCAGGAATGCTCTTTGCGCAGAACTCCCTTCACTCGCGCCCGAGGGCAACACAGCTGGGGAACACAGCTGGTCACAACTGCCTGGTACCAGGCTCTGCAGACACAACCCTCCCTCTCCGAGATGCCCAGTATCAAACCTGCTGCTCGGTGTTTGTGCCAGCACCAGAGATGACACTTTAGAAGTAAAACAAAAGCGTTGGTGCTCATGAGGATTTTTCACACCTGCCCACCAGTTCAGCACTCTGTCAGCCTGAAAAAGCACCAAGAGCAGCCAAAGAGCTCAACTGACTCCTTGATATATCCAAAATAAAATACAACCACAACATGGAGGCATTCCTGTTTATTCCTAAATGGACCTCATTCTGCTCACAGATGGCCAGAAAGTGGGAAGGTGTCCACCTCTCTGTAGCTAGCTTCTGTTGGGGAGACATTCCCACAGAGGTCAGTGGTCTTCCACCTTTCTGGCAGGCATGCCCAAGATTCAAACCACCAAACAAACCACCACCAACGCACACGAGCAAACCCACCAGCAGCTCCCCGAGGACAGAAAAGGTAGGGATGTGCATCAGGAGGGGCTGTGACCCTAGCCCTGCCAGCGAGTGACTGAGGATCCTCATCCCTCAGGGAACACACCTTGAAGACCCTGTTGACTTTGCAAGGGTAAGAGATGCCTATTGCTCCTAGAAATGAGGCCACGGAAACGTGTGACTTATTTTAGAGCAGTGATCAGGGCTTTGGAGAGCTGCCTTCATTAACGCTATTCACATCTTGGTTTCTGCTTCTGCTAAGGAAGGACTTTAAGACCCAAGTGCCTAGATCTAGGAAAGGGAGAAAAATAGCTTAAAATCTCTAAGCAATTTCTGATCTGTCCTCTGCCCCCAGGCTATACTGACATGAGCAGAGGAGAGATCACGGCTGCAAACAAAAATGAGTGCCAGGAGCCTCATGCCAAAGTTCTCACAGAGTCGGACGGTCATGTACAATTCGCACAGAGCTGTGATGGTGACAGTTGTGATCCGCTGGGCCCTTAACCAGATGCCTTTAATCAAGCAGTTTGACTCTACGTTCCTACAGCCTCATCAGGCAGCTGAGGAGCAGAAACGGCTGCTGCCCACCCCAGTGCCCGAGCAGAGCGGAGCCCCCATGGTGCCACCTCCTATCTCCGGGGACACCCGGTGCGGGGCGGCCACCGCTGGGGAGGTTGTTCTGCCCACACTTCCTGCGCTGCTTCGCACAAGGAGGAGGTTGTCTCTTGTTTGTTTTCCTCTGTGAGGCAAAAGCAACCACTGACACAAAAGCAAGAGCGGCAGCGGGGGAGCTGTGCCACCACCCCTGGCGTAGGAGGCTGCTGATCCTTCCTCTGATGGCTCTGGCCCATGACACCGCTGCTCCACGGGCACATGCTCCCCACACAAAGTGCTTAAGCGCTAATTCTCCCTGAGGCTTTACCTGGTCGTTTGGGGGTGCCGAGCCGAGAGCCCTGCCCGGCACAGCCAGAGGAGGGGAGCCCACCCTGGGGCTGTCTCTGCAGCCCCCATGGCCATGGCTCCGCTGGGGCCCATGGGGAGAGGCAGCAGCCACAGTGGGGAGCGGCTGCCATGACGGCCCATCGAGGGTCAGGAGTAGCTCCTTGGAGCAGGTCCCTGCCATGACACAGCCTGCAGCCCCGCTCCCGGCAGGGAAGGTCCCTCTTTGTCCTGATGGCACCTGGCTGCCCTACTCTGCGGCCACTTGGCCTGGCGCCGGCAGCAGGGTCCCCCTCCTGCCAGAAGGGGAGGGAGCGAGGCACCCCCCTCCATGCTGCCCTCTGCTACCACAGCCTGCGCTGCACCATCTGCTCCTGCATTTCTAACATGCAATGGGTTTGGGTTTTTTTGCCAGTATTACAAATTTTGTCAAACACCAAGACAGAATTGTAAAAACATCACACAGAGTTGTGAGGAGACGTTTGGAGGCTTTGTTGGCCCGTGTCTTACTGTCAGAATACCAGCCCTCTCCAAGCAGCCAGCAGAGCTCTGTGGAGACACGTTATGGACTGGAGACAGACCAAAGCCTCCTCCCCATCACTCACCCCCAGCACTATCCCCTGCTGCAGAGGGATGAGACTCCATCAATACAGGCATGCTCTGCCCTCCCAGGCAAAGCCACTGGTGCTGGGAGAGGCTTCGGGGGACACGTCAAAGTCCTCAAATGCAGAGGGATGGCCAGGAGCAGGTGGACACCCTTGTGTTGCCCTGTCTGAACACAACCCCAGCTAGGCTACAGGGCTCCACACGGGGCTGGCACAGCACTTCCCGGCACCCCAGAGCCAGCCAGCCAGGAATTACACTGCAGCAGAAACAAGGGCCCCTTTGTCATCACCCTAATTAACCCTCTGCAGGCCACGCAGCTGAGAAGCAAGGCGGTGATGTGGGGAGCCCTCCCTCCCGCCAGCCCAGGGCAGCCAGGGGATGGTCACATCCGAACCCCACTGAGCTCTACCAGCAGCAAAGCAAACCACCCGCAAACCACCCTCCCACGGCCACAGCCAGTCCTTCCCAAAAGCCAGTGAAGTGGAAGAAACCGCTCACCTGGTTGTTCCACATTCAGCTCTTTCACCTAGGAAGAAAACACAAATTTCCATCATTTCTCCACCTTAGGCACCACCAAAGGACTGCTCCAACACAGGCACTCACACACTCGTGTCTGGCTCCGGAAGCCCCCAGCTAATGGCAAAAAGAAGCTGAAGGTGCCCGAGGGCTCCACAGGCTGGGGAGATGCCGAGCTTGTTGCCACCACTAACCAACATAGTAGAAATCCAAGAGTCAGCCACAAGAGAGGGAACACATCTTCAATTCCCACTGATATGAAAGGTTTATTTGCAATATGAAGCCCATCTTGTAAATAACCAGAGGCGCTGCGGGTCCCCTGCAGTGAGTGCTCACTTACAGTAGCTGGGGCTTGGCCAAACCCGCGCAGACACCCTCTGATAAGGACTGGAGTCCCTGGGGAGGCCGCCGAGATTATCCAACTGCCTCATGGAGCACCACTAACAGCACCTGGACGCAACAGAGCATTCGGTTCCCCAGCTTTTCCTGAGAGATAACAGCCCATCTAATCACCATCAGGCAGACTCCATTCTGGCTGTCAGTATTCTCATTCCCTTCATGTATTTTTAGTGCTTGGATTTCATATAAATGGCAGCGTATCACCACCGATAAGATCTGTTCATTTTTTAGAGTATTTGTCAAGCCACTGAAAAAAACTGAACTAATTTCACATGTTGTTTGTGCCTTTCTCCCAGGGCCAGGAAAGCTGATTTATTCTTCCTTTTTCTAAGACACATAAAAGGAAGCATTTGGCTGCACATGCCTCCTTCCTGCTCTCCCTTGGCACCTGCGGAAAGCCAGCTTGCAGCCAGCTCCTCACTGAAAGAGAAAAGAATTCCACACGAGTGTTTTGCAAACCCAGACTTCTTCCTAATGAGAATCAGCTCACGCTGAAACGCAGCATTTGGCATTTCTGGGCTAAATATTTGCTGAACGCCTACATAGCAGGATGATCCCATGGCCTGGGAGAAATTCAGAAAGTTTTCATGTGAAAAATCTTCCATGGCTGCTTTTGCTCAACTCCAGAGAGTAAAAATGCCTGACCCACACTCTTCCTCCTGAGCAGGGCACTATATGGCTCTTGTCACATCACCAGGATGGTGATCAAATTAATCTCCATCAGATTCATCACTTCTTGCACCAATCCACAGGAGTCTTAGCACCTTATCCAATACACAGAACTCTTTCCTCTATGAAGATCTGTGATCTCTGGGAAGAGCTTAGATGGGTCCAGTTGCTGTGAACCACATCTCCATCCCCTTGATATTCAGCCTGGATTCAGCCCCAGCAGCAGGAGCCCCCCGAGCCCTGGTTTAGAGCAAGTCAAACACGGATGGCCAGCAGGAGGAGGCCTGTTAAATCAACACGGCTGCTGGCAAATCTGTAACAGCAGCCCAGCACCAAGGACAGGAAAATACCTGTGTTCAGGGCTATGCTGAAGAAGGGGGAGAGAAAGGGAAAAGGCGGAGGATGGGAGTGGGTGGGAATCTCTCTGTGGCTGGAGAAGTAACATGGCACTTCAGCACATCGTGTAAAATTTTGGAAAATAACAATTTTGCATGTCACTGGTTAAACTTCATAGTAGCAGCCAAGCACAGCAGCCATCAACCAGTCACTCGGGAAACGAAGACAGGAGGTAAGATTGAAAGACAACGCCTGCTTTAAAACCGTCTCAGGCGTCGGGAGGTTCCTCCCTGGGCCTAACCCCGCCACTCACCTTCTCCAAGAGTCTGCTTCAGCAAGTCGTGCTTAGCCTGGAGCTTCGTGATAAGGTTACTGCCATTCAAATACTCCTTAAATTTCTGGAATTAAAAATAAAACAAACAAGGTGGGGTAAGACTCCTGGCAACAACAGTCCACGATTGATGTACGCTCTTGCCCAGGGGCTGCTGGAGGGGCTCGGCGGGGCTGGGGGGCTCTGACATGGGGCTGAGCACGCTCTGACCACGGCTCCTGCCGCAGACCCGATGGTCTTATTAGCCCGGTCTCCTTGGTGCTGCACCTCCCGCCCGGGAACGCGGGGAGCTCCACAGAAAGGAGTTCAAAGCAAGCTCTCTTTTGTCAGGCTTCTGGGAATGGCCTGGAAAATCAAAGAGGCTTTTCCTCCCCTGGCAGGCGCTTGGCCTTTGTGCAGACAAGTGCTGCAGAGCGAGCACTCCCAGCCCACGAGACCTTCCCGGGCCAGGGACCATCAGACACTTTCTGCACCAGCGACACTCGCTGCACAGCACAACTTCTTCTTTCATCATGAGGGTGTGTGACGCCCGGTAACACTCACCAGCAAGTAATTTTACAGGGAAGAGGAGTGAGGGGGACAGAGATGGAAAATGAAAGACAGGCAATGGGAGAGATCAAATTCTTGCAAAAAAGCATTAAAAAAATGCACAACTCATAACAAAAAACTGCAACTTTTCCCCCCTGAGTTGAAATAATACTACTGTTAAGAGAAAGCAGAAGCTTTTCTATGCATCTGTAATATATCACAAGAAGCTATTAACTTTAGCCTGCTAACCATGCTTAAACGAGGGCTACCTCTGCTGAGCTGATGGCTTATTGCTCACAGTCCAAGTAGGACACCAGAGAAGCTCAAATCTGCCTGGAAGTGAAGCACCGTACCCCTGCTGCTGGGGACACAGCCCAGCTGCCCTGAAACAACTGCTGGGCAGGTTTCAGCTGTGTGGGACATGAAAGGAGGGCTTGGCTGATGGTTCAAACTCTGAAAGGCCTCCAGGAGCAGCCAGGAAGTGGTGACACACTCAAGGCTGGCTGGAGCCTGCCGTCCTGCTCGGAGCCACTCCTACCCATTTCTGTACGGTTTTGGTTGCAACTGGTTGCTCCAGTTGTTCCTTCAAAATGAAGAATGAGGCAGACACTGGCCTGTCAGTCCCTGTGCACTGCCCTGCCACGGAGAAATGCACTCCAGCCCCAGATCAGACAGAAGACAAATACTTAAAGAGACTGAATTGGTTCTTGCTCTTTACTAATGAGCACTAAAATGGGACTCAGCCCTAGCAATCAATGCTTTGTGTCCTGTATCGCATGAGATGAGACTCACTGTAAAATAGAACATTTCAGTTTCCTGCTGGTTGGCTCTCCGCTTGGCGATGTTTATCTTGCTCATGTAGGTCTCTGATGCAGCTGATTTGACCGACTCAGTGGAGCGACTGTGCTGGAAGGCATCCGAAACATCAAAATCTTCCACTGTCAGCATGTCCTGCAAAGTCTGCATCGTGGCATCCAGCGTCTTTCGTACCTATCAGAGATAGAGGACAGCGTGGGTTTGGAGCAGACTGGGAAAGTGACACAGCTTGAGCCAGAACAACTGGCCAAGAGGCAGCTCCTAAGCACTGGGCTGGCTCCTGCCCCAGCTGCGGCCAGCAGGAGCCCAGCACCACTGCTGGAAGGACTCCACACTGGAGCACAGTAGGAAAACCCCCACGTAACAGGCAAGAGGCCGAGCAATGCTGCCTGCGAGGCCAAACACGAGACGCAGAATAACTTCTTACCTCTTCGTTCTCTATCTTGAGGGTGGCCAGTCGTGACTGCAGCTGGTGGTACCGCATCAGCAACTCGGTCTGCACAGGCTGCTGGGCACTGACCTGGCACACCTGGGATGGGAGCAGTGCCCAGGAGAGAGAGGAGAGCACTCAGTGGGGCTGCCACTGACCAGACACACACATTTAAACACCGAAACAGTTCCCCCCAGCACCCACAAGCCCCCCGCAGCCTCCAGGGAGGCTGTGTCACCCAGTTTCTCATAAGCGGGGCCCTGGACCCAGGCCAGCACAAAGCATTTTCTGCCCAGCCTTTGAAAGCTGTGCTCCGAGTTCTCCCAATTACAGCAGGTAAATCAAAGCTCCGCTTTACAAATCTGTGGGGCAGTTCAGCTGTAAATCAAACCACAGGCTTCCTAATTGGGAGAGATATGGAGCAAGAGGCAGACTGAAAGGAGGAGCCCTAATGAGCCAAGTGTCTCATTAAGAAAGGGAACAGGAACAGCAGCATGTGAAGACAGAACAGAGGGATAAGGAGTCAGAAATAATGTAGCAGTGATGGTTAAGAAGAGGAGCAACGCAGTGCAGGCTGTGGGGCTCCTCTGCCGCCCCTCAGGCGAGTACCTACCTCGTCCCCCATGTGAGGCTGGAACTCAAACTTCAGTGGAGGGCAGAAGACCTGGTTGCACATGTCCATGATGGTGTGCTTGTCGCTCCGCGCATCCAGGTTGTCCACAGCATTCTCGATGATGTCCAGGCCCTCGTGGCGGGAGGTTTCCAGGTTGTACTCAGCAGACAGGTACGTCCTGAAGGTCCGCGCGAGGCTGGCGTGGAACCCCAGGTCACAGCACTGAGAAACACCAAGGAAGGGTCTGGTCACTCAAACCCTTGTTCTGGAGGGTCATGTGTACATTTAAATGCCAAAAAAAGCACTGTATGTCCCAGAGAAACACCAGCCCTTTTGTACTGGGGTATATTTAACAGCGTACTGCAATACTGTATGAAAAGGCAAGAAGGAAAGAGGACTGAAGAAGTCCCAGGGAACACACAGCCAGACAGTACAGGGACCCTGCGCTGGACCCTCACAGTGACACCAGGGTTTAATACCCTTCATTTACCTTGGGAAGGGCATAGATTTTCTGAGACAGGACACAGGGAAAAAAATCATCCAAAAGCAGGGTTCTCCCTGGCTACCCGCACAGCCCCAGGGCCAGTGTGACCACAGGACCATCAATGGCCAAACCTGTGCCCTGCAGAGGCCCCCACGAAAGAAATGGCCAGAGGGTCCGTGCCACAGCTCGTCCCCAGCACTTTCCTTCTCGCCCCGTGAGCTGCCCTGCAAGGTCTTCTTGCACAAAGAATCCATTTCCCAAAGCTATCCAGTCCAGAGGGATGCTCCAGCGAGGTGGCAGTGAGCACCGTGCCCTGCAGGATATGCAAACCCTTTCATCCTCGCTGGGAAGCCACCATCCCCTCATGACAGAGCAGCTTCTCATGCATAACTGATCGTTCTCATGTTCACCTTGGGGAGAATGATAAAACTCGGAGCTAATTGCTGCCAAAATACTGTACATTAGACAAAAGCCTGTTTTTAAACTCTCCTCTCAATGTAATTGAGTTTGGCATGTTAAGCGTAGCAACAGCAGAGGGATTTGCTGCTGTGAACACTTGATCACAGCTGAGCAAAAAGCAACTCTGAGCAACTCTCCTCCCCAAACCTCTGCAGGGCTCCGCTCCCCCCTCATGGGCTGGAGCTCTGCACAAGCACCGAGCTCTGCAGAGACACCCCCAGGCACAGGAGGGCTGCAGGTCACAGGGACCCCTCCCTGGAGAAACAGAGGGACCCCGTGAGAAACACCCCCCACAGCACAGGGCATCAATCTAACTATTGCCAGCAAATTGCCCTGATTACATGGAAACTACTACAGGACAGACACTACAGAAGTTAAGACGAGTTGCTGCCACACAGATTGAAGTATGAGTGGGAAGTCCTCACTCTCTGAGCTGCAACCCAACCAAACGGGCAGGCGTGCGGTGAGACGCTTCAACCCCAGTGCAGCCCCACCACCATAGCTGCCGGGATGGCCAGCACGGCACAAAAAGCTACAGGAAAGAGAAGAAAAATCGCTAGTGCGATCCCAATGACCCAAAATGAAACCAGCTTTTCCCCAGCAGCAGAACTCCCAGAACTGGCATTTCAGAGGCACCTTCTCCAGCTGGGCAGCAACCAGAGGCACTGCTGAACCACGGTGGAACGGCACAAAAAGCAACTCCACATCAGAACATCAGCCCTGATAAACTCAAAGTGAAATATGAAAAGTCAGCTGGTGCCACACGCAGCTCCAACCAAAGAAGTCATCTCCTGCTTCCTGCCGATCTGAAGAGACAAGGCTCAGCTCAGATCAAGTCACACGCGGGGCTGTATTCGGTTCAGTCTGGGCTAAAAGCAGCAGTGAAACCGCACCGGGCCGATTCCCGCTCGCAGATAACAGGCTCACAGCCGGCCTGGCCCCATCTGCTCTTTTAAAGCAGTGAAACCACACGTGAAATAATGAGGATTTTTGCAGGAACTACCGAATGGTCATAATCTACCATTTATCCTGCTTCTATTTAGCTTCTAATCTTATTAGTTGAAAACGTAAGTAGTTAAGGACTGGATAAAGCTCTGCCTTCATAAATCAGAAAGCTACACAAAAAACAAGGAATTGGGGTGAATTTTGGGGTGAAACCTTGTTATAGCACTGTTAGTCTCACCCACAAAGCAATTTTAGTGTAGAATCACAGACTGGATTGGGTTGGAAGGGACCTTAAAGCCCCCCCAGTCCCACTCTCTGCCCTGGACAGGGACACCTCCCACCACACCAGGTTGCTCCAAGCCCCCTCCAACCTGGCCTTGAACCCCTCCAGGGATGGGGCAGCCACAGCTTCTCTGGGCAACCGGGGCCAGGCTCTCACCACCCTCACACCAAAGAACTTTTTCCCCACATCTCAGCTCCATCTCCCCTCTTTCAGTGTCAAACCCTCCCCATTCCTCCTAGGGCTCCCCTCCCTGATCCAGAGTCCCTCCCCATCTCTCCTGGAGCCCCCCACTTTAGGGACTGGAAGGGGCTCCAAAGTCTCCCCGGAGCCTTCTCTTCTCCAGGCTGAACCCCCCCAACTCTCTCAGCCCCCCCTCCCAGCAGAGGGGCTCTAGCCCTCCCAGCATCTCCGGGGCCTCCTCTGGCCCCACTCCAACGCCCACCCCTTGCTGTCGTTCTCCCACCCCCTTGGAAACTTTTGCCACTTGGCTAGCTGAAAATAATACCAGAGAGAAAATAATACCAGGAGAAAACATCTACCACTGTTCACGGGTGGGAACTCTCAAAGCATTACAAGACTGAGCTATTGCAAAGGAAAATTGCTGGATGCCACAGAATCCAAGGAGACAGGGCTCAGTGTAACGCCAGAAGCTTTTGAGAAAAATTTCTATGTGAAACCTTCCATTTCCTTTGAACACCAAACTCATGCTGAAGCTTGCAGTTTTTTGCAATGCCCAGAAACCGGCTGCTACCGAAACCCAGCACAGGCACTTTCCTAACATGCCACAGCCCTTGAAGTCTCTGGCGATTCGCACTGCGCCGGCTGCTTCACACGCCGGTGCCCACAGAAAAAAAGACAGAGCAGGGACTTCCACGAAATTCTCAGAGAAACACACAAAGGGGGGGAGGGGAGAAAAAGAAAGAAAAGACTTCAAACTCCTGCTCCCAGCTCCAGAACAAATGGCATTTTCTCACCCCTCTCATCCCTTTGATGGAAAATAAATGAGAACCACAAATAGTAATCCTTCGCCCTTGTGCAGCGCCTTTCATCTGCAGAGCTCAAAGCTCTTCGCATATTAATTCATTAAGTCTGGTAACACCCCTGCAAGGGGTGCAAATATTACAGTGTTCAACTTGAGAAATAAACCGACACCCCGGGGTAAAGCAAGCTGGTTCTGGCCAAAACGCCCTGGAAGTGGCCAAATCTCTGTGTGTCTCCCACCACCCCCTGGAGGAGGGGTGGGGGCTGCAGAGGACCACCGCTGGCCACTAGCCCCAGTGCCAGTAACCCCAGTTTAGACGCAGGAGTGAGAACAGAGAGATATTAAAGGGTTTGCCCAAATCCAGGAGGAAAGCCAGTGGGTCTCCAACCCTGCATGAGCATCCCAACATCTTCCCTAGGAAACCACCACCAGGCAGCCTTGGGAGAGCCAGCTCCTGCCCGGGACCTGCCCCGCCAAGGGGGCCTGGGACAATCTAAACTCATGGGGCAGTGAGCAAACTATGACACCTAACTGCAGCAGCACAGGAAAACAAGCAATATTTAAAGAATAAAGCAACATCCAGCAGGTCTCTGTCTCAAAGCATGAAATAACGTTTTAACCAGGTCCCGACAAGGCTGGGTACTATGTGAGAGCTGAACTCATACCTGAAAGCATCTTCAGATCTTAGGAGGAACCTTCAAAGAGAATACAACCTGCTTCTGTTCTCACTCCTTTTCATGGAGAACATTTATTTGCTAAGTATTAAATATGCAGAAAACAAAGCGTTCACACCTTTGCAGCCTGCAGTCACTGCAGAAGAGCCTCAAAACAAACCCTGTTACCGAAGATATTCCAGCCAAGGCACCATAAACACTTGTGAAAAGCAGCACTCCCCCACACCAAACAGGCTGCGAGCGCTGTGGGATGGACCCAGCAGCAAAGGAAATTAAACCACACCAGGAGCAGGCACAAAGAGCTGAGACTGTATTACAACAGGGTTCGTAAGCTGTCACAGCACCTTAAACGGGGGACAATTGGGTTTTTGTGGTCTGAGGCCAGGTATCGGGAAACCCATGCAGTCACACCGGGGATGTGATGGACACAACCAGACTGGCTTTCTCCTGCACCACTGCCAAGCTCAGCCTGGAGAAGAGAAGGCTCCAGGAAGACCTTCAAGCCCCTTCCAGTCCCTAAAGTGGGGGGCTCCAGGAAAGCTGGGGAGGGACTCTGGATCAGGGAGGGGAGCCCTAGGAGGAATGGGGAGGGTTTGACACTGAAAGAGGGGAGATGGAGCTGAGATGCGGGGAAGAACTTGTTTGGTGTGAGGGTGGTGAGAGCCTGGCCCAGGTTGCCCAGAGAAGCTGTGGCTGCCCCATCCCTGGAGGGGTTCAAGGCCAGGTTGGAGGGGGCTTGGAGCAACCTGATAACCTGATGCAGTTGAAGATGTTCCTGCCCAGGGCAGGGGGTTGGACTAGATGGCCTTTAAATGTCCCTTCCAACCCAAATTTTCCCAATCTGATCAAAGGGTCCCTGTGCACACCACGGCCTGGCTGGCAGCACTCGACTGCTACCATCAATCCCTTCCAAAGGACAGTCTCAGCCCATCAAGTTCAGTGTTTTGCCTGAGGCAGGAACCCAAGACACAAAAACTCCCAAACAACTGATTTATGTTTAGCCAGATGGGGAAGGATGTGTGGATACGGCAGGGGAAGTGCAGGATCCTCCCTGACCCCTGCAGTCATCAACTCACGCCCTGAAGCATGAGATTTGATTATTTCTAATCAAAGGTTCCTTAACTGCAAGTACTACAGAGCCAAATATTATGGGTTTGTTTTTTGTTTAATTCAGCTATCGTTAATTAACTCTACAGTCCCCGGAGTAGGTTACTTTCTGGAGGATTTTTAACCTACATTTTATTCTGCTCCTTAGTCTCTCTAGAGCAACTCCCTCCCCCATCTGTATTTTCTTACAGCTTTTTAATGGGTTTTCTGGTCGGTTGGTGGTTTGGGGGGTCAGGGGTTTTGTTTGTTTAGTCGGTAGCGGTGGTGATTTGGTTTTGTTTTGTTTTTTAAAAAGAATGCACTGGTAAGTTCATCTTTTAAAGGACATAAGGACCTTGAGGCTATTCTTTCAAGCTATCAGGAAAAGCAGCCCTAAGCGCCACGAAGAAATTCTTTTATCTAAAGGAAAGTATTGCTGCTTTCCTGTACCACGTTAACAAGGTCGATCAGGCAAAGACTGATCACAGTCTTCAGGCAGTAAAATTTACAGACTGCATGACACTTCTACATCATAAAACAATCAGCACATGTGCTTAATTAATTTCACAAGCCAATTCCAATGTCTGTGGTATCCATGTGAGGAACAAATTGTTTACTATGTACAAACTTTGGCAAAAAAATGTAGTTGTGCCACATTAATAAAGCCAGGACCAGCAAAATTGATGAAGTGTGTATTGGCTGGATTCTTTCAGGTTAATATGGAACTACAAGAACCGCTTAGTTATTTAGAGGATGATGATTTATGGTTCCTGCTTACAAACAGGTAGCTAATATTAATAAATGCATATAGAAGAAGATTAATATAAGTTTACTGAACCAGGGCACCTCCAGTTCCTTAGCTCTCTGCAGAATTAGTGACAGTACCTCCTAAAAACACGTATTTTCTATTTCCAGAGGTCCCTCCCCAGCAGCAGGGAGAGGTGACCGGCTTGGTCCCGGTGGCGTTCCCAAACTGCCACCTCTGCGGGAAACAGAGGGAGAGGGACAGAGCAGTGGGGCAGCAAGGAGCAGTGAGGCTCCTGAGATGGCCTCCTTCCTCCTGATGGAAGCTGTTTACTCTTTTTATTGCTGCACTGCTGACTTCATTTGAAATGCCCTGAAGCCAGATCTCCTCGCTGCCGAGGCACAGCCTGGTGAGCCGCCGTACAGGCCCTGCTCCCCAGGAGAGTGGGAGTTTTGGGGTACAGATGCTGCTCCACACGACTGTGGGGTGACTGCGCTGCTTTGCATGGAGTTCCCATGCTAAACCATGTTCTACCTGGTTCTTGGGGCTGGCAAGAGCCCGGTATCTGGCAGAGACCCCACTCACAGGACGGTGTGGGAGGAACCTCTGTGCCTTTGTGGAACTGAAAGGCTCTCTATGCTGAAAAAAATGCTTCAAACCACAGAGCAAAGCCCTAGAAGAGACCCTCTGCTTGTGTAAATCAGTGTTTCTTCATTAAAGCCTGTGGTGTCACGCAGAGCCACGCCAGCCGGGATGTCCCCACACAATCCCAGGGGGAAAGTGCCACACAAGGGGAAGCTGCTGCCAGAGCAGGCTCCGCAGGCACAGACGTGCCTGGGCAATTAGCCACTGATGGAAACAGCGAGGACACGAGCTGCAGGAGACACCCAAAACCACATCTAATAAAGTGGTCTGTAGCTTCGGCCCCTCTGAGCCTTTTTCTTATTCAGGGGGCAGCTGGCAAATCCCCGAGGGAACCCTGTGTGTCCCAGCCCTGCCATCGAGCGCTTTACTTCCCGGTCACAGCAGCCTGACTGGGGCCACAGCACCCGCTGCCAGCTGCAAACACTTCATCTTATTTGCTCGGTTCCCTTTTCTCCTCATTTTTTCTTTACCCTTTCTACAAAGATACTTATGCATTTATACGTGTATTTCCTGCCCTCTACTCTCTTGACATCGCCGCAAAGGCCAGAGCTCTGCCCTCTACTCTCTTGACATCGCCGCAAAGGCGATGCTGTGAGGTTGGTAAAGCCAACTGCAGATTTTTGGCGTAACAATTTTGAGCACTGTTTGTTTCCCAACATGACTGAGCATCCGTGGACCACGTGAAAAACGGCAATGCCACCAGCTAAGTTTTCCAGGGACTGAGTAACGTATGATGCTAAATCCTCAGAACCCCCTTCCTTTACCTGCGTGCTCGTCTCAGCTCCGGCACACACGCTCACCCAGGAGCCCCGCGCCGCTGCCGCAGAGGGTTACAGGAGGCTGAAGGAGTTCTGGTGGATCAGTGCACATGGACACCCACTGCTACGTTTTACCCTGCTAAATCTAACGGTATCTTTCATGTGACCACTTCAGAATCTCTCACAGCCATTTCACAGAGAACTCCAGAGGGATGGATAAGCAGCTTTATCTCCGCTTCACATACGTGGCCAGAGAGATTAACTTGGTCACACAGTTAATGACAGAAATGAGAGAAAACCCAGGCGTTTTAATATAAACGCAAGTTCTTTGGAGGGAAGAGGCACAACGGTGTATGTTAAGCCCAAGTCTAATTTGATCTGTCTCTATATTCTTCTCTTCCTTGCTAAAGGACAAAACAAAAAGGCGCTGGAGAGGGAGGGGGGATGGACACGCTCTGTGCTGCTTCACGGCTCCTCTGATGGAGTTTTACATTTCTCATTAAAACGGCCGCCCTGGGAGGACCCTCTGTCTCTCCCGGAGCAGCTGGGACCCTCTCTCCGGAGAGGGAGATTAGCACAAGGGCTTTGTTGGAAAAGTCACTGCTGGGCGGCGAGGCCGAGGGCACCAGAAATGTCAAGGCTGTGCCTGAGAGACGACACTGAGCCATCTGGGATTTGGGGGAAACGCTGCTAAATGAGCTGCTTCGGTGTTCTGACGGTTCAGATTTGCGTCCAAATCAAACCACCACGCACGGCAATTTGTGCTTGATGGGAAGGGTGTGCGAGACACCCCCCGCCCATCACCCCTCTTGCATCCACAAGGACAAAGATGTCTTTTCTTTCAGCCACTTCCAGTAGGAGTGAGACACAGTGAACAGGACCCCCGTCTTCTGGAGCGTGCCCAAACCCTTCTCTCCATGCTCTTGTAAAATACACTCAATTTGTACAAAAGCTTGTTCAAATAAACTGCTCTTCCTTGGGGGATTTACAATTAGGACAGCCGCGTGCAGCTCACACACACTATATTTTGTTTTCTTTGGTGAATAGAATATAGAATTAGGGGATTTTAGCTGCACAGAGCTGAAGATGCTTTAGTTAAAGTCCCCTGAAGAGGTTCCTGGAGTGCAGAAGAAAAGCCATCTGCTGACTCCAGTGGAAGCATCAGCGAGGAAATAAAGTTGGGAGGAATAATATAAACAGCCAGAATTAAAATGGGACTTGGCAGCTCTCCAGAAAATCAAAGTCCCCAAAACTTCATCCTTGCTTAAAAAAATACATAAATGAGAGAGAGAGAGAGAATACACACAACAAAAAGCAGAAGCTACACAGATAAATCAAGGTGTTACCCTATCTTGCTGTTCAAATGTCTCCATGATCAAGTTGTTTACTTTAATATGACTAAATATATCTTAAATAATAAAGAGAATAAAGAGGACACACTGAGAATATTTTATCGTATCTCAAAATCTTGAAATCATCAGGGAGGTTGCATCAGATTTACTTTAGTTACTGCTTAGAAAAATAAATATGTTAGTGGGTGAGTAAAGGAGAGAAACACTCCGGCACATTTTTAGATTACACATTAGATAATGATGAAGCCACAAGTCTAACTCAGTACTTATAGATCAGTTATTTATGTGTTCATGGAAGGAACTCTAGCAAAAAGCAACTGCAGAGCGCAATCTAAACCACTGTGAAGATGCCCCTTAAAGGAAGAAATGGAAATCCCTTCTCTTGAATCATTTAAAAGCAGTTTGTAGGAGTCACTGATACACACATGAGTTCCAGTTCCTACCATCACTGCAAAACCTCTTCCTGCCTGAGGCCACTTGGTGCCATGAGCTCTTCCCATAGAGCTCCACCAGCAGCTGGCTCGGACACACCACCACAGCCCAAGAGAGCCAAGGGCTGCTCAGACTGATAGTAACTGCAGACACATGTTTTAGGAAGAAAAACCTTCTGTTTCAACAACAGAAACAAGGATGGACCTGATCTTCATGAACATTTATCTGTTCCAAACAGAGACTAATCAGTGGGCCAGGAGCAATCCTCAGGCTCACCTGGTTTGTCCCAAGGCAAATGTTCCTCCAAAGGCTCTGGGCTTTGAGAAGCTCCAGCTGCAGGACACCCTGCAGGAGCCACAGCAGATGAAGCTGTCGCTCTAAGGCAAAGGAAAGCACCATGTCTGGTTCTGAGGGCAGAGCCAACATACACCAGGGACAACCAGAACTTCACATGCTGTGATACAGCGTGAAGGGTGCAGGAAACATCCATGCGATTTCTAGTTTGTAACTGCTCATTAGATGTGGTGAAACCACAGTTTAACATGGACTTCCCTGCTTCTGTGCTCAGGAAAGTGTTTGGTCCAGGCTGGTTCGTACCATGCAGTTATGATGAAAAACTCTTTTTTTCCCAGGCACTGATGAAAGAAGTTTGTATGTAGCATAGATATGAATCAATTACTTCGTTGTGTGATCATGTGGCTGCCATAAAGTTCAGAGGAGGCTGATACTGTGTGTTGCCCAGAGAAGCTGTGGCTGCCCCATCCCTGGAGGAGTTCAAGGCCAGGTTGGACAGGACTTGGAGCAACCTGCTCTGGTGGGAGGTGTCCCTGCCCAGGGCAGGGGGGCTGGAAACAGATAATCTTTAAGGTCCCTTCCAACCCGAACCACTCTATGATTCCATGACTCCCATATCACAGCAGCTCTAGCTCCGCTCCTATGTGCCTACATCAGCTGGGAGGAAAGTCACATGTGTGTGTGCAGCTGGGAAGGAAAAAAAAAACACTACAGAGGGAGAAAAAAAAAATATTCCAATTTAGAGGACATTTTCCAGCCGCAGTTAAGAATATTTTAAAGCCCCAACAAAAACCCCTTTGTTACCACCACATGAGAGTGCATTTAAGGACCAAACCATGCATAAGATCTAGCTGTGCGCTTATCAGTAGGAAAGGGGCCGGATGCACTCACATCAATGAGGTCCGAGACATCGTGGATGTAGTATTTGCTGACGGCGGCATTGGTGGCGGCCAGGTTCAGCAGGTAGTCATTCCTGGCTTTAGTACACTTCAGCTTGTTTTCAGAATATTTGGCTTGTCTCTGAAAAAGCAAAACGTAGCGTCAGGGCACAAAGAGGATACAACTCTCACAGCTTCTCCTGCTGCAGGGCCCCACTGCACCCTGCAGCCTAGGCGTGACGTGGTAATTAATAAAATTTGGTACGGGCAATGAAAACAGGCCCCCTTGCCAGGGCGGAGGAGACCACAGCTGAGCATCCCTGGTACCCTCAGCCAAGGCACAGGGGCACGTTCTGCTCGGAGGTACCCGGCGGGTCCCCGGCACAGCTGCTCCTCCTCCATCGGGGCATCCGGGGAGGCTTTGGCATCAATCACAATTAGAGGGCCAAATCTTCCTCCCAGATAACGCTGACATACGTTTGGACTCGCTCCAGATCTGTGCAGCTGTATCGAGGTGGAATCTGGCCCAGAGGCCCATGCTACAAAATTGAGAACAGGACCCAGAATTCCAGACTCGGCAGGAAAGCAGATGTGCTCAGCTCTGGGGCGTCTGCCCAAGCACATCACTGCTCTGGAGCTTTAGCACAAAGGAGTAACCCTTCAGAGAAGGATGCTGCCAGGCAACGTCCCAGCGCCGGGTCAGCACGCAAGGAAACGCGGCCCGGCTGGGGAAACTATTGCTTTTTCTCCAAATTTAACAGAAAAATCACAGTTTTGGAGATCCTGAGATCTGGAGGGATTCTCTGAAGCCGGAATGGAGTTAAGTGTTTTGATTAGCAAAGCCAGCTCAGTGCTGCACTGTAGCTCCCAGACAGTCGGCGGAGGAAGAGACACTGTTATTGTCTACACCCGACCCTGCTGTGCCCGCCATGAGCCGCCCAGTGCAGGAGCCCTGGCACAGACACTGTTCATTGTGAAAGTGCCTTTTTTAAGCAGTCAGTCATGAACAAGCCGCAGCCCCATAGCAGGGTCAGAACCTGTCGCTGTGCTGGGCCAGACACACCAGCACATTGCCCTCCCTGGGGCCAGCGCGGCCCCTCGGGTCCCAGCCCAGCCCCACCGAGACCCGGGTCCCAGCCCGAGCAGCCAGTGAACGGGGACCCCCATGGCCCGTCTGCCTGCAGAGCCACCAGCCTCCGAGACCCCTTCCCAGCCCTCCCTGAGGGTTCCCAGAGCCCCCCTGGCTCCCCCATCCTTCCCTTTCACCCACCTTCTCCTTCATCTTCTCAATTTTCTTGACGGAGCTCCGCCGCTGCGGCCTGTCCTCGTGCCGCAGCAGGTTCACACTGATGTCCCCTGACTTGTTGAACTGCTTTTCCTCCTGCTTCTCTGCCTCCTTCAGCTTGCTCTCGGCGCTGATGCTTTCTGCATGGTACATGTGATAGGTCTTCATCACCTGAAGAAACAGAACTGCTGTGAGCTGCCTGCCCCACGGCCTCACGGAGCATCGGCACATGAGAAGATGATAGCCATCAACAGCCTGGGACGGTCTCAGCTGTGCCAGGGCTCCTTGAAGCCACTATGACATTAAGGAACAAGGTGGGAAGGAAAATCCCATAAAATTAACCCCAGCACCAGCCCTGTTTGGAAACGGCACAGAGCTGGTGTAAGAACCGTTGTCCCTGCTGCGGGGACAGGCTGAGATGTGCCTCCAGCACGTGCCTGTATTCAGAGAGCACCCTGTGCCTTCCCAGAGGGAAATGAGAAATAACCTCCAGTGCTCTACCACGGGATAAGGGCCTCCAAGACAAGAGGCTGCAAGGAGGCCAAAGTCAACCTGAAGTCACTTTTGAGCCAACACTGGAACTTACTAAGCCAACCCATCAACGTAACCCCGGCTTGACCATCCCGTCAGTAGATCCCATCTTGAAGGCAGAGCTGCTGCAATTTCCAAGAAGAAGTGGAGTTTGTCCCCTATCACCACTTAATTCTCCTCTTGCTGCCGCTGGAGAGCAGCATCGGTGCCAGGGCAGGCTACGGCAGCACCTGGTCCTTTCAATTCCTCATCCCCATCAGCAACTCTGGATAGAGGGTGCTGACGCTGATCTCCTGCCAGGAAAACTCCTGCGGGCAAAACACCTACCACAGCCTTCCCTTCCAGGTACACAGGGCACATTGGGAGCATTTTAATGCAGCTGGCAAGAGGAACACATCTGCTCTTCTCTCTTGATGCCTTTAGTCACATTGTCCCCTTTTATCATCTCCCTTCAGGATCTGGATGTTTTATTTCACATCGCCTTGACAAGCTCGCGATGCCTGACTTCTCGCAGAAGATCAGCCCCGGGCGCCGCCAGCAGCAGTGCTGGGACAGACTGGCCTCAGGGTCCATGAGTCGAGAAGGAGCCCACAAAAGCAGAATCACTTTGCAAAAGCCTTAATGAAGAAAATACAGAGTTTTCCTCGGCTGCGGCTGCCAGCGGGAGCCAGGAGTGTTTCACTTGGCCGAGCTTCGGCTGAAACATATGATCTCTCCCCTCGCCAAGCACAAACGTCAGCTGCAAACCAGCCCCAAAGGCCTCTCCGAAGCTGCACAAACGTGCCATCGCTGGGAGCCACAATTTCAGGGGATTGCAAGGAATCGCAAGTGAAGGCTTCTGCCTTCTTTCTGAGCTGCTTTATTTCAAAATCCTACAAATTCTAACACAGATTTGAGCTGCATACTTCAAACTGTGCTTCCTGCAGTGAATGTCACACACAAACCAGACGATTTCTGGGTTTTCCTAAGAAGAAAGGCCAGAGGGATTCACCGAGCCCTCCTCATTGTCACGGTCTCCATCGTGTTGTGAAAAACTTGGAGGAAAGTGGGAAAAGTCCTGCACTTTGGGACCAACGGGCAGTAATGAGAGAGGTCTCTCCAGCTCCCAGAGAGGCCCCAACGCTGTGCAACAGAGAAGCCCAACAGTTAGACAGTGGTCCCACTTGCAGGATCTGTGTGAGATCTAACTGTTATGAGAACCTGGTGTCCTAACCAGAAAGGCTTCAGCACAATTCAGGGCTGTCTCCACTGACCCACGGCGTCGCCACACTGCCGCAGGCCTGGGGAGATGCTGCTGTAGCCCATGGGCTCCACAGCCCCGGGGGAGCCTCGGCAGCCGGAGGGAAGGGCAGGACCCACCACAGAGCATCACAACAGGGGTCACAGCCCCACTGTGCTCCCGCACCTTCACACAGGCTCTGACTGACTGATCTGCTAATGACCGGGGGAACCTTCCTTAACAAAGGCCTTTTTTCCTCCTCCATAATTTATCCCTGCCTGAGCCTGGCAATGTAACTCGGGAACCAGGATTAAAACTCCTCTGAAAGTTCTCTCTAACAAAGTGCAAAGGACCCAACATGACCACAATAAAATATTCTCCCCAGACTTCAGGATCCATGATGCTGAAACAGCTCCCTGTGCCACGTTCCACATCAGCTGCCATCCCGCACAGCTTGCACCTGGAAATCCGGGGGATATTTGTTTGTTTTAACATCTGCCTTAATTCTGAATGGGGAGTACCTGCACTGCAGCAATCAGCCCTCTCATCCCCACTTCCCTCCTGCCTTCCTAGCACTTGCAATCCAGTCACGCTGTCCCCCTCTCACGCTATTGTGTCATAAAGAAAAACTGCCACAGCTGCGTCCCGGGGATCTTTTCTGCAAATAAGTTAATTAGCTGCAGTGGAGGGAGAAAAATATGTTCCAATGTTCATTAGTTATTTAATAACACAAGTTGTGTTTTCCAATATTAATAACACGTTCTGGATAAAGGCCATTGCCAAAATGCCAGCCATAAATGGCGCTGTTTGCTGTCCCCATCTAGAAGAGCTTTGTACTCCCCAACAGCTCACCATTAAGGCTCTGACCCAGCAGAGGAGCCAGATCAGACCAGGGTGACCCCCGTTAAGCACATCACTGCCAGAGCACACAGAAAACCCCACCAGAACCATGGTCTGGGGTTACTGTCCTTCTGACCCCAATTTTGGCCTGACTTCTTCAGACAGGTCCCTTTGAGTATTGTGCACATTCCTGTGAGCAGAGGGACAAAGAACCTCCAGCCTCTATGGACTCCAACATCACATCCCTCTGCTGGAGTCTGTAGGCAGGAATCAAAAGGATGAAGCTGGCTTTAATTCACAGCTAAATTATTTCTGTGCAAAACTGTGCACAAGGAACTCTTCCTTCAGAACGAAAGTCATTTACTTCCTTTTTCATTAAAATCAGGGTGGTTTTGGGGTTTAGTTCTTTCCACACAGAGCCCACAGGGTGACTTGCTGGCATCAGAACAGCAACAAGGCTGGATTAAAATCAAGTTAGTTATTTTGGCTCAAGTTTGAGACAGTGAATGCCTGAGAAGCCTGTAAAAAATTATTTAGTTTCCCCACACTGCAGAGAATTCCTCTCTGAAAGGCCTGAAGAGCAGCAGGGCCAGGGCACAGACGTACTACGGATACCAGCCTCGGCCACAGGCGAGATGAACAACTTCCTTGCCTCGACAGCTGAGAAATGACATCTCACAAGCAGCAGCTCAGTGTCCCCTGAGCCAGGGGTCCTCACTCTCTAGCTGATTTCATCGGCACCCATGGTTATTGAATGTGCCATTCATGGGTACCCAACATGTTGCAATGAACATGCAAAGCTTCAGGCCACTCCTGAAGATGTCCCCAAACACCTCCAGCACGCGGCATCAACCTGCAGGCCAGATAAGCCTGCATGCAGATAAGCCTGCTCCACCTGATGTCTCAAGGACCCAAAACTGTGACTGGAGAGTAGCTGGTCTGCACTGAGCAGATTTAAGATGATGTTTTTTGCCCGACAGGGCCTGCCTCTTTTTTGTGTTTCATCATCGTTTCTGAAACAAGCATCTCTCCCCTGCTCCTTCCCAGCCAGATGACCCCATTGGGTCATTATTTCAGCAGCAAGGTCAGTCCAAAGAAAACACAAAGCTCTTCCCACTCTTCCAGTCTGTTTCCCCACTCAGATACACTCTGCTCAGCCTGTGGGAGCCAAGCAGCGAATGGGGGAAATCTCAGCTCCAGGGAAGACAAGTTTTGCCACAGACTCAGGAGGAGCAGAAGGGCTCTCCATGCTCCCCCTTGGCCCCGTCCCACTTCTGCTCCTCAAGCTGACCAAAACGTCTCCTCCAGTGATGCTCCTCTCCCGAGGTCGGGATCCCAGTACACCACCCACAGGTATCAGGGTCAGCCCAGCCCTTCACAGTCTTCCCTTGTTTTGCACCTGTCAAGCTGCTGTTGTAATTAATCTTAATTAGTCACCACCACTAACACAGCTTGTGACATTCAACCGTCAACAACACACTCCCCAATCTCACACAGGCTTTCTGATCCAACCTGGCTATCCACCCACACTGCAGGTCCCAGAGACTGCATCCTCCAACAACTAACACAGGAACAAACCTGGTAAGAGAAGATTTATAGGAGAAATTTCAAATAATATCATTCATGCTCTGTTGTTTAGGCCTGTTTTTTAAAATGATGGAAAAAAATTATTGTTTAGGAATAAACTACGGCAGTGTTATTTATGTACCAGTAAGAGATACAACCAAAGAAAGCAAATATATCGTCTCAATTTTCCAACACAAGACAGACTTTATATTGCTTTGTTGATCCTAAACCACAAATAAAAACAAACCAATTGCTACAGGGCAAGAGACAGAAGCAACAGAAAGACTTTTACTGCCCTACTATGAAAACCTGAAGAGCGATGTCCAGAATTACAGCATACAATGTCACCCGGAGGCAAGGAGACAACCAAAGTGCTCCTTGGAGCAGGGAGACGAGGCTGAGCACACACGAGCTACAAGTTTTCTGCATTCCTCAGCAGAAGGTCATGTCCAGCCACCCTCCAGAGGCCACCAGACCCACAGGAGCAGGTCAGCTTCAGCCACAACTTGGTGCTGCCAACTCAGAGCCCAGCTTCTGAGCCCGGCAGGAATCATGGACCGAGGGAAATCAGAAAGGGGCCTAAAGGCAACCCAGTGTAGAAGGCCCAGCGGTGAGAGCAATACAGACACCAGGGATGGTGCTGGATCATGCCCAGAACGTCTCCATTTACGCTGAAGTGAAGCCGTCACGGGGCATGATCCGCTGGCGGATGCGGCCGCAGAAGCCCTTCCCAGCAGGAGCGCTGGGAAACCCTCCTCTGCTGCCACCAGAACCAGTGAAGAGTGAAACATCCCTAACAAAGGCAAGAGGAATGATGGAGCTGTACCGCAGGACGGCAGGAGGGAGAGAGAGCCTCCTCAAGCCACTGAAACATTGAACAGACATTTTGTTCTAACAAATGACACTGGCGACGTTCCCCTCGCCGCACAGGCAGGAGCAGCTCATTACTCACCGTGTAAAGCTCGTTGGTGACTTTCAGGAGTTCTTCATGCATCTGTAAGCCAATCTCCTTACTCTGGAAGACAAAAAGAAGAGGGGTTGAGACTCTGTTATGCTCACAACATGCATTTCTGAAAGAAAAATACATTGTGGAGGGAAAAGTACAACTGTATGACTTCTAAATACTCTGTGCATATGCATCTTAATGAATCCTTTCTCCAAGCTGTGTTCCCGGAGTGGCCTGCAGAGGCTGAGGACAGCCCTGTGACAGCACTGCCCTCCCAAAACACGTCCTCAGAGCAGCACCCAGGGGCTCAGCCCTCGCTCCCAGCGCTGCCCACACCCCATGGCTCCAGGGGACCTCACGCCAGCCAAAAGGCACCAAACTCCAGAGAGAGACAGGAGGGAGGGGGAATGGGATCCCTGCAAATACCCACTTCAAACTCAGGAAGAAATGAGGTGACGGGTTTTTCCCCCCTAGCTGACCAAAGGCAGGCAGAAGGTCTCCAATGTGACAGACTTCTGGTAAGGCCACCGTGGCACCAGCAGAGAGAAGAGCCTGGGGACACTGGCGAGCTGGTAGGACAGGTGAGCAGTGAGTTGTTCCTTTCCCCTCTTAAACCAAGCGACCAACCCAAACTCGATAGGGATCAGAAGTGCCTGTCCCCACACCTCCCACCCCTGTGCCCCAGTGGATCCTGGTGATTCCCAGCAAAGCCTTTGGCATCCATCCTGCAGAGAACAAAGCCGCGGCAACCTATTTACGCTGCCGCGCTTCAGCTGCATTTTTCACATTGCTCTTGTGTCTCCAGGGTTTTTCTCTCTCCTCTCAGCTGACAGTGGAGGGGGTGGACCTTGGCAGCACAACGGGCTTCTGGTAATGCCCTTCTTAAACACCTTCTGTCCCCCAGAGATCTGCCCTCTCCTGGCTCCCCTGCTAAACACGAGCCTTGCTGTTCTTCAGTCTGCCAGTGGAGTTAACAGAAGCATGTGCATTTTAAGTCTACATATTATTGTAAGAAATGAAACAGCCCTGAAGCATGAGAGATGCCCTGGGGCTCTTATTGACACCACTTCAGAAATCCTGTCCAATATCCTTCCTGTTCCAGGAGCTGGAAGGACTTCATCAGCAGCGCTGCCAACCCACATCTGGGCTCTGTTTTTTCCATTTCTAAACACTAAACCCAAAATACAGATGGCCTCCTCTCCCAGTCTGCCTGAGACAGGGAAGTTTAGAAGTAAACTAGCATTTTGATTTCCTTTAATTTTCTTCAAATCCTTAACAAAATAGAGTGCGTGATTGTAAGCATGAACACATACAGTGCGGCAAATCCTCATCCTATTCCAGGATTGCTGCATTTTCCTTCAAGGTGGGTGTTTGTCCATGGATCACCCAACCTGGGTTCCAGAGACCGTGGTGAGGAGCATCCCAGCATTTATTCACCCTGCAAACACCGGGGGATGAATCCAGAATTGCAGCCAGTGTCACTTTGCCCGTCCAGGGGCAGCGTTATCTCCAGCCCACAGCCAACTCGCTGTGTGGATCCCACACTTAATGCCCTCCCCTGTCTGGGGACTTGTTTCATGTGAAAACTGGCAAAAAGCACACAAGCAGGGCCTGCTCCATCTCCAGAAGCATTTCACAGCTTGACTTCACCTGTTTTTCAGCAAGACCCACATTACTGGGTGTGGGTCAGTGGCTGCTGCATTCTGCGTGCTGTGTTGGTGCTAAACCAACTCCCCTGCATGATACAATAATATTTGTGGGTACACAAATTGCTCAGCTGTGCATGCTCCAGTCACACAGTGTCACCTGCCCATCTGTCTGGATTTGTTAGATTCATTAAAGACACCCGACTTGTAATTTCCCATCAACTGTGGTACCTCAGAACACAGATTATTTGGGCTTCCTGAGTATGTCAGGTTTTAGGTTCTCCTTGACCATGACCCACCCTCCCTGTTCCATCCTCAGCAGCTCATTTCCACCATTCTGAGCTGAGTGAACCAAAGTCACTCTCGAAAAGGACGTTTTATTACAAAACAGCTACACCACAGTTATATAATAAAGTTTCCAGTTTCACAACCGCAGCAGCCAAAGTTCAGCCAGCTTGGAAGGAAGCTCCCTGCGAGTGTACAAACCCCTGGCATCTTCCTCCCGCCGCCCCCCCGTCTGCTGAAATCCTATTATTAGTTAGCATTTTCCCTTTTCTGGCTGAGCAGGAGGAAGCAGACCCAGTCGCCCACCTCCTGCAGCGGGAACGCGGCGTTTCCCGGGGGAGGCGGCAGCCCGGGGAGCGGCTGGAGGTGGGGGCCTGGATGGGGATCAACTCGGCTCCCGCTCAGGAACCAGGAACACAACAGATGTGCCTGCACTGCCTTCCTGCCTCCCTCGTAATTACGCCCCACATCTCCCTCTACAACCTTCTTGGCTAGGAAACGTTGATTATAGCTTGAAGATGTGTTTAAGCTAAGTATAGACACCCCCCTCTCCTTCCCAAAAAAACCCAAACCAAAACCCAAGCAGTTCCTTTCAGATTTCCTCAAATAACTCCATGCATTTTGGGCACAGAGTCACAGAAACAACGTCCTGTCGGCTTCTTGGTGGGGTGGCTGAAGAACCCCACGACACAGAGACATCCTCTAGTTAAAGCAAACTGGACAACCTACACATCCAACCGTTTAACCTCAGACTAATAAAAGTAAGAATTGAATGTGAAGAGTGAAGCAAGGGATCTGAAGAGTCAAAGCACTCCGCATTCAGTGAATATCCCGTAATTATCGTTTATCTGTGAATTAGCGACAGGGTATTTGGATGCATCCCATCTTCACAAGCGCGATGGATGCACGCTGCTCCCGTTCTTACGTGCACGAGGTGCCAAGAAGATGCCAATTAGCGGAGGTGCTAAGTACCCCCAGCCATCTGGAAACCTCATCTGCTGGAAACCCCATCCCTCTCCCCTCCCCGCAGTCCCTGCCTGCTCTCACAGATCTCACCAGGGCTCACTAATAGGCAACAGAACAATTAAAAGCGTGCATCCCTCCCAGAAGAAGCCACAACAGGAGCTGTTTAAGTCGGGGTCTGCACGTGGGGGGGTCTTGGATATGGAGGACCCGCAGGTGCCCCTCCAGCTGACCCTGCGTTGCAAGTCCCAGTCCGAGGGGGTCCTGTCCCCAGGCGAAGGGACGAGGACAGGCTCGGGGTAGGAGTGATGGTCCAGAGTCAGTGGCAGCTCCTGCCTCTGCCCCAGATTTCCTCTGCGGCGCCGGGGAACTCCACAAAGCTGTAATTTTCCAACCTAATTTTAGACTCCTAAATACAGCAACAGAAACCAGCTCATTGTCCGCAGCGTGTGGTTTCCACGATCCCCACCAACGCAGGAGGGCACAGGTGGGTCTTACAGGTAAAGGCCCATTTGCTTATAGACACCATTCACCAAACATCCTGCGTCCTGCTGCTGGAGACCAAGTGCTCTCTGGCATTGGCAAAAGCTTCCCGGCATCCAAGAGGGCAGTGTCCGACCTCACGATGCTGGAGGCTGAAGGACTCGCTGCTCCTGAGCCTGCTGCCTCCCTCCCCCCGTGTGGCACAGAGATTGCATCCCGTGTCCGTGGGAGACAGCGCCAACGCGCCCTCCCAGCTCCCTGGTACCACCCGCACAAACCAAACTCCAAACCAGCCACCTGCTTTACACTTCCCTTCCTGCTAAAAGGCACACACTTGCTGGGACAGCAGCGCTGCCGCTCAGCAGGTGTATTAGAATCCCTGCCACCTCAGACAAAGTTAGGGGAAGAAGCACCAAGGACTGCTGGCACCAAAGAACGCTTATTCCAAAGACAAAGAAAAGAACTCCCTTCCAGACAGACACCACTTCTTCATTAAATCTCCATCCAGGGCACTGCAGTATGAGGCATAATTAAATTCACTGTCACGGAACGTAATTAAATCTCACGCTGGGGAATAACACAGCACAGTTATTTCGGACACAGCAATGCTCTGTCTCAAACGTATAATTTCCTGTTTTCCACACTTGGAAGAAGCAGCCAAAGTCCTTCCTTCTGCCACAGCAGGAGGCGAAATGGGGAAAGAGCACCTGCCTGGCCGAGGGGGCCGGTGGCCTGTCCCCAGCCCAGGGGACACGCTGTGAGGTTTCTTGGTGACAGAGACTCACCCCGACAGCAGATCAAGTCAGATCTCCGTGGTGCCATATCTCAGCATCCCCACTTATCTCCTGCCTATGAGCAACATTGACACACCGCCTCGATAATCTCCTCCTGCACCAGCAACGTGACTCACACTGGAAGCTCCAGGGGAATTTGCCCAACTGAGTCTTCTCCCCCCACTTTCCTCACTGGCAGGGCTTTGTTTCGGCTGCAGAGGCTCAGGTGTGGGACAGGGATGCTCAGGCAGAGGACACTGGTCCCCATTGCAGCATCCCTTGGCAGGAGCTCTGTGATACCCCCAAATACCTGCACAGCTCCACAGCACTCACTGATAGGACACTGTTCCTCAACATGAGCCATCAGCACTCCATCTCCAGGTCCTACACTGTCCAAGAAAGTGTCCGATGGGAAAGAGGAGACAGTATCACAGAGGCCACACGCTCCCTGAGTTTCGCATCTGCACCCCAAGCTGAGCTGACCATATCTACCTTGGTGTCAGCGTGGAGGGCAGTGAGCAGGGGAAATCCTCAAACTTTGCCCACTTCCAGAGAGTCCTGGTGGCAGCCGTGCTGAAGATCCAGGGACAGCTGGAGAAACAAACCCAATTTCCACTCTTGATTTCCTGCAGCTCTGCACCCCCCATCCAAACCACGCTGAGGAGGAGCTAAATGCTGAGCCACCACTAAAATGGAGCCACCCAAAGCCAAACTGCATTCACCGCCTGGGCTCTTCAAAGCCTCCTCTGGTCTGCCACTCCCAGCGCCTCTGGATGCTCTTCTGATGGAAAACAACCGCAAGACCCTGCATGCCAAGGTAAACACAACGAGAGAAACAGCGAAGGTTTTCATGGCCTTCACCGTCCCCAGTCTGGCACCTGCAATGTCACCCCTGCAGCCGAGCCACCCGTGGGACAGCTCAAACTCACCCCGTCCCAGGGCTGCCATCAGCTCAGACCAGAGCGTGTTTCATAGGCACCCATCTCTCCACCTCCCCACATGAGAGAAAGAAAACTGATCACTGGATGGGAACAACTGCCCGTTTTGTAACCACAGAGCTGCATCAAAGTCCAAGTCCAGATTCGACTCACATTTCATAAATGGTTCCTGACTTTACAAATATCAATTACAAGCATCTCTCTGCTCTGCCTCGAGACCTTCGGATGAATCCCACTCACGCTTCCCGCAGCCGGTGCAAGCTGTCACCAACCCCAGACCTGGAGCTGGCTCTGTGAAACGTCCCCAACCCAGACACTAAAATCTCAGTCCCCACCAGCTCCTGCTCCCCCTCTCTCCTGGCCACGGGAAAGCCAAAGGGCTCTCTGGCCGGCCATGGGAGAAGCAAGCCCGTGCGACAGCCGGCCCCGGGACCGTGGGCTGCTGGTCAGGAGAGGGCAGGACACGTTGGTGGAGATGGACAAACCGCAGGGCCCCGGTTCAGTGATGAAGGGCCCCCCAAGTGCATCCCGGGGAGCCGAGGGGGGAGGCAGCTCAGCACCCAGCATCCCTCTCAGCAGAGCAACACCCCACCATCAACTGCCTCTCCATTATGCGCATCCTCCTACCCCAGATATTACCTCTCTGCTGCTCTGCTGAGATTGTTTACATTTACATAATGAAAGCACAAAACACAAAGCCTTCCAGCTCCTCCGTGTACCCGCAGCGTGTCACAGCCCATTAATAAATTCTAGATGGCAGGAATTAAAAGTGACATCTCTGGAAAAAAATGTTATCCTAATTTACCATCAAAGAGCAATCTACAACAAAGCCCAGCAGCTGAACCACAACCACGGATGCCTTTAACCCTTCTGGAGCCGGATTGCCCAGCAGTCCCGTAGGGCACCGTCTCCCCAGGAGCAGAGCTTCGAGCACGGAGCCCATCGGGCTCTGAACCGGAGCAGACAGAACAGTGGGAGGTGCCTCCTCTGAACAATCAAACCAGCTGCAAGGCCGGACTGATGCCTCAAAAAGCCTTTTACCAAGGTGCTCTTATTCCCACAAGCGCCTCAGGCCCCTCACCAAACACTGCTGCAAAGTGGGACTCGCAGCCCCAGACCCCTCTGGGGCACAGCGTGCAAGAAATTAAGAAAAATAAATAACCTGAATATCCCCAGAAGTGTCAGCCTCCCTACCCACATTAAGGACAAACAACAACACGAAATAAGCCTTTTCCATTATTTAGCTGAGCATTGTTTCCAGGGATACAAGAGTCCTGCTACAATTTAAGCCCCATGGGACAAATGCAGTGAAATCACAGATCCCCACAACTCTGGATCAGAAGCAGGTGCCGGCTCCGGCAGGCGGCAGATGGACCCGGCGCTGCTGCACCACCCCTGCAGGAGATGGGGGAGGAGAAATAAGGAGCAGCAATTTCTATAAAAGTGTTGTGTCTTCCAAGTTGAAATTTCAATTTAAAAAGAGGAGGGAGGGAGAGATGGAGGGAAAGCAAACACAAAGAAATAATTCTGCTGAGTGGATTAAATAGTTTATCGTCTTGTCCTGGCTGAGGACTGACCTACTACAAGGAACAGCTTTATGTCCTGGTTTGAATGCTGATTGGATTTGCCCTGTGGTTCAAAATGAGATACACCTTTCACAGACCTAGGACAGTGTTAATATACATCTCAAAACCAGGTTCAGAGTGAAATGCAAATGGGAGAGAGATTCTGAGACTGACTTAGAACTGAACTAACTGAAATATCACAAATCTGTCCCATTTCTGGAGGCCAGAAGAACAGGGAAAGGAATGATGTCCTCTATCAGATCAGCAAATCCAAACCTGACCTTGTGGTTTAAATTCTAGGTCAGATATATAAACTAGAGGAAACTGGCCACAAAAATATCACATTAACTTTACTCTCCAGCTGGGATAAGACAATCACTGATTTGAGAGCCCTTCTCCTTTCTGGAGAGACAGGCATCCCATGGGGCTGGCACTGCTCACTGCGCTTCTCCACAGACCCCCGCTGAAAACAAGCCACAGGAACTAAGAAGATAAGAGCCAGGTGACAGGTCCTGCCAGCCCAGCACGGCATCCCTGAGGGTGGCCACCAGCAAATACCCAGAAGAAAAGAGGGGGGGAAAGGGCCAGCGATGCCACCGAGCACGTTCATGACGTGAGGAGCTGCAGGGCCACAGCTCCCCAGCCCAAAGCTCTTTCAGGCTGCGTCTGCTGGTGTCTCTGACGGCCCATGGCTTACGGCAGCAGGTACGACGAGGTCCCCAGTCCCACTCGCTTCCTTGCAAGCCCCTGTTTGCAAACCCTCATGCTCCTACTACGTTACACACTCCCCCCTCACCTTCAGCTGAAGAGCCCTGGTCCACCTGACTGCGAGACTCCTGCAAGTCTTTGATGCTCATTTTTAATTTGGTTATCATTAATAATTCCGTATCATCAAGAGGCTTTGTCATTTTACTATTCACCCTTTCCCCAAATAATTTATTAGGAACTCCACTGAAATTCTCCTTCTCTTTGTTCCCTCTCTTTCAACAAGTCGTTAACCCAGAAAACAACCACTTCTTATTCTTCAACAGTTTCTTTTCTGTAAGAACTTCACTGAGGGACCTTCTCCAAAGCCTGTAAGACACTGAAGGTATGATGCCAAGGGATTCACATCATGACTGGCTCCGGAAATACATACATTAGATTTTTGAGGAACGATCCTTCTCTTCAGGAAGCCACACTGACTCCTCTCCTGTACCTGCCCACACGCCTGTCACTCCACTCTTCACTACAGCTTCACCCAACAGCTCTGGGTTCCAAGTCAGGGTGCTGGTCTGCTCGCTGAAGCCCTCCAGGAGTTGTTAAAGAATGTCATCGTGTTCTTCACCTTTCATTTCTCTGGCACTGAGGCCAGTTTAAGCACTAGGTCACACCTCACTGCTAGTCACTTGGCAGTTTTGTATCTCAGTTTCTTTTAAATTCTTGGGTAAATATCATCTGGAAAGATCTAAGTGATGGCCTCTTGTATATGTTTGTCCTGCAACATCTAATGATGACTCAGTTGGGTGAGGTTCCTCAGGCTGGTAACACCACTCCCCCCAAGAACATTTCTGGTTTCCATGTGGTACCATTTCTGGTACTAAGCTAAAGCAGCCAGTTGGCCTTTGGCCGGTACCTCCTAGCCTTTCTGCATCTCACCCACCTGTCCCCCCCTCCACACCCTGCGGCAGGTTTCTTCCTTGTGATTTTGTGAAGTTATTAAGTTTATGTCTCTAAGTAAGCTGTTTCTTGGCCTGCCTTACTGGGGTTTTACATTTTCACTGTCCAGAGGTCAAACCCCTCTCTGGTTTCCTTGTTAAGATGCAATGTGTACTTCTTAGAAAGTCTGGTTACCTGCCTCTGCTCTTTAACAATGCCAGCTTTTTTGTACCTCTTTAGACTTTTGGGGGGCACAGCTGTGTCGAACTCCACAATAAGCTTCTTTTTCAGACTAAAATGCAAGGATGGGTCCTCCCTGAGCAGAGCTCTCCATGGCCACTTCAGTTACCTTTTTGAAGAGCCTGATGACATCCTCACTGATCTGCGACAGCCGGACAATGACATTGTTCATGAAGATGTCGTTCAGGGTGGCGTGATCTCTGCTCTCCCGCCGGGTCTGCGTCAGAACCAGGTACCAGCAGTTCACAGGGGAAAGGAGGTGCTGATCTTTCCTAGGGAATTGGGGAAAAAAAAATAAAAATAAAAAAGGTCAAGCAAACAAGTCAAAAAGGCAAGCAATTTTCCAACGAATGCTGACAGCACACTAACGCTGCCTCCCTCCACCGCAGACATCCGTTGTGCCCGAGAGAAAAGTGTGTGTGCTCTGACGCCAACCCTAGGCACAGCCACACACCCACATATATATACACATATATATATACATACATATATATATGGCTCCCAGGGGCATCCTGAGACCCTGACCTCTTTTGAGGGAAATGCCAGGAAACATTTCACATTTGGTTAGAGCTTCGCTAATTTTGACGTGTTCCATCTCAACACTGAGAGAAACCCGCACTGTTCCCCACGTACTGCTTTTAGGACTAAAGGAAATCCATCAAAACTGAACTGAAGTTTCCAAAAGTGATACAACCGGAACAAAACATTTCACATTGTCCAACTGGGACACTTTGAGACAGATCCTCTAAGTGAGGCAGCCAAGTGACTTGTTCCAAACGTTTTACCTGCACCGTTTTCTCTGGTCAAACCACCCCTTTCCTACAAAAAGTTCTGGCTCCCGAGGATTGGCCCCTTTTGACAGAGACCTCCCAGCCACCACAGGTCTCCCCATGTGCCCACAGCCGCGTTCAAGCCCCAGGGCCTGCTCCCTATCCAGTACCCAAAGACAAGCTGTCCCGGGGAGCACCCACTGCTTTGCCCAGACAGGAGCCTGCACACACCGACAGCGCTGGCACCACGGCTGTGAGATGGACCTTCATCCCCCCTCCTCCTCCACCATGTTCTCAGCCCCAGCACCAGGGGCTCACCTGGTGAACCTCACCATTGAACCCGTGGAGAGGAAGGCACAGTGACTCCAGAAAACCTCTGCATGCACGTCCAGACACAACCACCCCATATAAAAACGTGAATGAGTCTGTCAGCCCCAAATGACCACAACCAGCCTGGCAGCAGCACCGCGGCAGCCACCACCATTAAGGGTGGGCACAGGCTGCTGCACATGGCAACACGGGGACAAAGGGAGGGCTGTAGAGACTATATTTCCTAAGAGTGTCAAAAGCCTCATCAGAATAACGACATTCATGAGCAAGCTGGGGAAACAGCACAGATGGACCTACTAAAGGGCAGCCTGGAAGAAAAAAATACTAAGCCTTTCTCAAGAGTGAGACAGCAAGGACTGGGCAGGAGTGTGCACCCAAATCAAGCTGGCTCTCTGAGCACTACCAACACCACCACACACCATGACACAGTGGCACCAGCCTGGCACCACACCACTGACAGGCAACAGTCGGATGCAAACGGAACATTTGAATGGGAATTCATTCTCCGCAGACTTCTGAGTAAGACAACAGCAAAGCCTTGCTCACTAGAGAGACCGAGTAAACAGATTAAATGGGATTTAGTAGTATGGAATAAATAGGATTTAGTAACTTAACAGAAAAAATCGTGGCTCCTGCAGCTGAAAAAGGGAAAAAAAAACAATCACAAGGGGTTAGGGAAAGAGAAAGACAATAAAGAGCCAGGAAGAGCTAAGTGCATCAGAGAGGCAAAACCCCCAGTTTCCTGGGACAGGAGCTAACCTGTGGCTGGGGTCTTTGGCCACTGAACTGAATGACGCTAGTTTCATCTCGAGCAAAGGGCAGTCGAGAGACTATTTCACAGACACCACTGTCAGAAGAGGGGACAGAGACAGAGGCCGTGCCCAGGGAGGCAGAGGCAGGGACCTTGGCTGGGATTCTGCAAGGGATGCAGCAGGACTCGCTCCTCTGGCAGTGATGGGACAGTGGCCTTCACAGGGACCTTCAGCTCATGGCCACCAGCCAGCCAGCAAGGGCACGAGCCACCTACCCTCCCCATGAACTTCCCATGAAGCTTACTAAGCTTCCAGACTTAAATTCTGCCTAGACTTTGTTTCTTCTATTTATTTTTTTTTCCAGATTTTTTTTTTGTTTTAGCCAAACTCAAGAGTGTGGTGAAACTGAAGAGAGGCTGCTTTTGAAAACTTGCACATATTCACACATTCACGGATTTTACAGTTTTCATCATCAGTTTGAGTTTCGCACAATTCCAGCAACCAGCTCATCTATTCCAAAGCTTTGTTTCAAAATATTTCCACTGTGGATTTGCCCAGCTTCAACACCATACAGTGTGTACACAGAAAACACATATACCGTGCTTCAAAAAACTGAAACAAATTAGATTTTCAGAAACTGCTTCCAAGTCTCTCTCCCAGAGAAGCTGTGGGTGCCCCATCCCTGGAGGGGTTCAAGGCCAGGTTGGAGGGGGCTTGGAGCAACCTGGGCTGGTGGGAGGTGTCCCTGCCCAGGGCAGGGGGTGGCACTGGGGGGGCTTTAAGGTCCCTTCCCACCCAAACCAGTCTGTGATTCTGTGATTCCAAGTCTGGGCCTGTAAGCAGGTCTGTGTGCAATGTGAAGCCCTCTGACACCCAAGGATGGGACTACACACAGAAACCAGGGTTTGTAAGATGGCCTGCCATCATTTGCACAATCAAATCAGGGGCTGAATGCAACTTCTTCAAAAAAATAAAAAAAAAAAAAATAAAAAAAATCAAGGGGCTTGACTCCTTCCTAGTCTCTGATTTGTATTTTTATCCTACTGCTCAAGGAAGCGCACAGTATGTCTAATTTGGGCAGTGCAGGTCAGTAATTTTGTGGTGAAAGTCTCGGAAAAAGACATTTCTGGTTCCTTCTGTGAACCCTGCACAAGGTTCCCTTGAGGCTATTTTGTTTACTCCCCTTTTGGACTTTGCAGCTACAAAGAGTGCTGGAGCAGCCTCTGGCCCATCACTTTGGACCGTTTCCCCCCCGCTTACTTGAACTGGTGCTCTCTGGAGCTGCGGATCTTGGAGGAGAAGCGCTCGGCCAGTTTCTCCAGGCTGCGGGAGTACTCCAGCTCGATCTCCGCCTTCCTGCGGAAGAACTCCTGCAGGTCCTGCAGCAGCTGCAGGCGCGACTCCGACTGCTGCTCCAGGCACTTGAACTGCTCCACCAGCTGCGTCCGGATCTCTGCAGGGACCAGGGAGAGGGAAACACAACGTCAGCCACAAACGCTGCCCAGGAGCATCCTCCTTCCCCGTCGCAGAGCGAATGGAGCAGGCCCCGCTGGAGCAGGCTCCCTCGCGAGCCCAGGGCTCGCTAAAGCCAACAGACTGGTTTGTTCCAAGAGAGAGCTGAAGAATTTCATTCATTGGTCTCACACCAAAACCACCTTCTTTGTCAAAATAAACAACTGTGTAAGTACAGAGAGGCCAGCCCTCAAAGCTTCTCAGCTGCCTTTCTGAAACTGGAAAACAATACCTCAACTTGTCTAGCACTACCTGAAATCCTGTATTCTTTGCATATATTTCTTGAGGAATGATCATTTGAATTCCGACAGAGCGGTTGGCAGTGACCTGCAGGGAGCATATCGCTGTCAATGCACGCTCCTCTCGCCCACCAATGGACACATCAAGCTCCTCTGGGGCTCAAAGGCTTAAAAAGCCTTCCCCGACTCCCCAAACTCCAGCCCACAAAACACCACAGACTTCACCTGTTCCATTTTTTTCTCCTAAGAACCTTCAGAAGCTGTGACAGACACACTACCAGCCTAGCCCTTGCAGCCAGGGCTCTGCGTGCCCAGAGGGAGCCCAGGCAGTCCCATCCCCGCCATGGCACAGCTCACCTTGGACACCCAGGGCTGATGGACCCCAGGAGGACACCTTTCCAAAGCATATCAAGCACAAAAGCTAGTAAAGCAGCTCAGCATCACACCTGTCCCTTCTTCACATGTGCAGCCCCGGGGCTCAACGGGGCCGGAGCAGCACAGACACCTCAGGGACCCTCCATCCCACAGAGGTGGGAAAGAATGTGATTTTGGTGGCACCACAGCCACCATTTCAACTAGCATCACATCCCAGCTCGGCCAGCACGCGGCCACAGCTTTCCCTCCATCACCTCCTGAGCTTACAAGGCATTACCAGTCAGCTCCCAAACTCAGGGCATCAGACAGGCTGAAGGACATGCCCACCACCTCCTATGCACACACATGCAGGAGAAAGACAGCTTCTGGTGAAACACCGGAGAAGTTGTGCATCGGGGCTCACTGAAAGGACGGGAGCACTCAGCCTGTACTAAGAAGGAAGTCCTAAAAGTGGTAAAGCTCTTCAGCAAGAGGGATAGACCTCATCCTTGGTTCCTTCTGCAAACCCAGCCTGGCAAGGTGACAACCAGTAACACTCCCACAAGAGCCACAGCAAACTAAAAATACCTGAGCACAGGCACACGGCGTCACTAGGGGTAACCGGGAACCTCTGCGACCCCAACCAAGACATTACAGCAGTGTCACTCCAGCGCGTGAAATAATCTTGAGTCTGCATATATATATATATATACACACACACACACAAAAGAAAGTGTATCCATACACACACAGGGCAGGGTGGCCCTACTGGTCCCCTGCCAGCATCACACTGTCCCACAGCCTCACAGCTACAGCAAGGTCCCATCCAGACAACCATTACTCCATACTGGCTGCTGAACTGATAAAGTATCAAGTAATGATCATGCAAAGCACTGACTGAAATCACAAAAGATTTACAGACAATTTCAAGCTCTTTAAATTTGTGGGGATCCCACGCGGAGGAGGTTAAAACTGCCATTATAAGAATCTGGCATTTTTCAACATTTCTTCGTAGAACAACTCCGATGCAGGACGGAGCTGCTCGCAGCCTGCCAGGTGAGCTTGGAGAGCTGCAGGAACAAGGACACCTGCAGCAACCTCATCACCGGGTAATTTAGCGATGGCAGTAATGGGACTGGAGGCTGCAGGCTGCGTGAAGGTCACCTAAAAAGCAACAGCTCCAGGGAAATAACGGATGCTGAAAACTCCAAAGTTAATCAGTCACCTTAAGTGGGATGCTCCATGGGCACTGCTTTTACACCATTTCCTTTGTGCCCTTGATGCTTTATGAAAGGACAGCACAATCGTTCATGAAAATGCTCACACAGGCTCTTGGTGAGGGACTCAACACACTGCTTTTGGCCACCAGCAAAGCCGTTTTCCATTCCTGAAGCCTGTCTGGATGACCGTGTAGCCATCCCTGCAGCAGCCACAGCTCTCTCCATTGGTTCTGACCTACATCCATCCCACCGACAGAGAGGATGGACACGGGAGCCAGGAGGAGGAAGAGGGTGATACTCAGCAGGGATGCTCAGCACGGCTGCTGCCTCCACCCCAGGCTCCCCGGGGACCCGGGGCATCTGCTGCGCCACACATCAGCCCTCGCTCACTGCTGAGCTGCACAACACCCTGAAGGGACAGACAGTTCCACTACATAGGCAATGCTAAAAATACCCTTTAAAAAAAAAAAAAACAAACACAACACATTATGGCTGCTAAAGGAATGGAGCAGAAGAAATTAAATTCTCATTGCAAAATGAGGTCTCAAAATGGGTGGTGTCAGACCATCTTGGTCTTTACTTGTACGTCAGAAGAGCAGCATCCTATTCCTGTGGTACCCACACCCGGCCAAACCACTCTGTGCCCATCACGAGCAGCACTGCTTCTCCACCCCCCGGCTTCACGCCTGCACCCACACGTAGAAAGTAGATTTGCTCCCCTTGCAATGGCATTTCTGCAGGGGCAGGGGGGTGCTTTAATTCCACACTGCAATATTCACCCTGGGTTTGCTACGGAGATGCAGAGAACACCTGGAGAAGCTGAGCGGGCTTCCAGAAAGCAGTACCTGAAATGACACCTGGGCCAGCCCCCGGTGGCTGGGACTCAGTGTTTGCTGGGAAATAGCCTAGGATTTACAGAAAGACAATGTGTGTGCAGTGTCGCAGCTCTAACTCCATCAGGACCATGCTCTTGGCGGGCTCTGTACAGTGTGAGGGCTGCGGTGATTCTGGGAGGGACAGGAGATGGCCACCTACACAGCCCCAGCTTCCACAGCCCCCTCGGCTTCCAGCTGGGATGTGGAATGGCTGGTGGGAGCTGTCATCCACCAGCCACAGCAGCCTGGGGCACGGCTCCCCCTTTCCCAGGCAAGCACCTTCCCCCCCACACAACGTCTGGGGATAACGACGGCCACGACCAGAGCGGAGGGTGGCAAAGAGCAACCCACCTTGGAATTTAGCTCCTAAAAACCCACCACTACGGTTCTTACAGGATATAAAGGTACCGGTTTCATAACAAAACATTTTTAAAACCTTCACATTCCCCTACCGACAAGTTTCCTTCCCACACAAGGTCAGTGGAAATTTCATTACATCCCATATGGATTTCTCATTCCCACTCCTGCTGGTGCCAACACAGGACTTGCTTTACAGCTCTCTGCTTTCCTGAGCAAGTTTGAGCTAGATTTTTTAAAGTAAAAATAAAAAAAAACCACCACAGACTTGATCTCTTGTTCTTGTTTCATAGTGGATTCCAACCCGAGGTGGTCTCCAGAGCAGCTCTCAACAGCCCTGACAACCACAGAAATACAAGGAATATCGATAACGCTTCTTCGGTCTTTTCCGTTTCCTACCTCTTCCTATTTTTTCCCTCAGATCTGAGCTGCTGCTCCTCACCCGATCCCTGTGTCTGGCACAAAGATTCCTCCTCGACTCTCACAGGGGTCTTTTGAGGCAATTCAGACTCCACCACCCAAGGCAAAGACCCCCCAACGCTCTCACCACCCGCTGCTTGGAGCAAGTGGAAGGTGCAGGTTGTGCCCGTGGGACCTGCCACCACGGCAATGGCCACCCCTCCTGCGACAGGAGCCCAGCGCCAGCCCCAGCTCCCCCTGCCCCATCGTCCCACCAGCGCTGCTCCCCCAGAGCCCCGCTGCCAAGGAGGACTCGGCAGAGGCACGTCAGTCCCACTGGCCGGTGAGGATGCTCCCAGGCACCACCCAGGCCCATTATGACCTTCATCACCAGAATTTTTTCGTTTTCCCCCTCCCAGCCTTTTTTCCCTGAAGCTGTAAGGCTTTGACACTTCCCAGTTTCCTTGCAGCAGCTCAGCCAGGGCAGTTCCACCCGAGCGCCCGGAGGCAAGGGCAGTCTCTCCCGACACGGAGAGCCCACCAGCACTGACCCCAAAGCCACTTGGCTACGAGCTGGCACACAAACGAGCAGAGATGGCCACTGACCCCAGGAGCTGCTGCCGCATGTTGAATGGAAAAGGTTTGCGGCACAAAACAAAATTAAGGGCTGCTGGCATCATTAATGCAAAGACAGAAGCAATAACAGAGAAAAGGACATTCTCCAGTGCTCCGGAGGTCCCTGTGAGTCACCACTGACACACACAGCCCCGACAGCGACAGCACCGGCGTTGTCCCTCCCCTGCCTCCATCCTTACTCTGCTGCTGCACTGAAGAGGCACCCTCCTTTCAATTAAAATGAACTCGGCCTTAAGGAGCCTTTTCAGATGACGATGAAAGAATAGGGGCTGGCAGAAAAGCCTTTTTCCGCCCTTCACGCCTGCTGCCTAGGGAACGGGCAGGAGCACTCCCAGGACATCCATTTTCTGCCGGAGACCAGCCCCTCCATTTGCCGTTGGATCCTGACATCTCCACGCACCGGAGATGGGGAGAGCAGGTCCCCGGCAAACCCAAACCCCACCAGCCTCCAGTAACTAGTCCAGGTGACACCTCGATGGGTCCAGACCAAAGCCTGCGTCTCTACCAGCGCTGTTTGCAAGCCATTTTCTGGCGAGCCGCACCAGGAGCTGCATCAGTCCTGTCCGTCACAGGGGGATTAACAGGCCTTTAATTACAACCTTCAAGCGAGTCCCAACTATGTTTTCCACGTTGGACAAATATCTCTTTGGTGCCTGACCCCAAAACCTTAAACTCTGGAAGACAGAGCTAGAAGTGGAGGATGCTCGTGGGAAGAGTTCGCTAATTGTGTTCCTGTAATTGGAGGGAGGAGAGTCATCTTCAGGTGCTTGACTGACGTGCCTCATGGAGACCCAGCTCTCAGGAACGACCAGAGTGAAACAAGCCCAAAGCACAGGCAACAGGAAACAGAACAAGTGAAAG